AATAATAAGATAATTTAAAGTGCTTAGACGAGAGCTCTGCTTAAAAATGACATCCAAGGTAGAGCAGTACAGAAATAGCACATGAGTAAAAGACATAGATATGTGGAAAAGCTAAAAGAAAAGTTGAAATATACTATTATATAAAGTATATATAAAGCATTATAGCTTAGATTAACCTATAAGTAATAGGGAACCTCTCAGTAGAATATTAAGAATGTTAGCAATTTTTAAGATGTCAGTAATTGAAATCTACTACTTAAAACTTCTTATAATAATGTCTCTTTAATTCTTAACAATATCATAACTCGAAATGCTATTGTTATCCAGCTTTTAAGACTTTTTAATGAGATCTCTTATGTTAATAGCTCTGGATTTAATTCGAACGAACTTGCACATCAAGAGATAGAGGATAATCTAAGTAAAGAATTGAAGAGAATATTGAAAGAGTAACTACTACAATTCTGGCTCTTCTAGTAGTACACCAGTTGGCTTTCTTTAGCGGTAGGAAAACGGCCACATATCTTTCGACAGTGAAACATACAACGAACCAAACTGATAATGCAGCAGAATTCTGTATGACGAATATCAACAACTGGCAAAAAACTGGAATGTGAAATAGTTCAATTTGAAAATATCCCAAGCTTATAGGAATAAGAGAGAGCAGAAAACAGCAATCGGCAACGGATAACGCAGTTAAATAAACGCTTGAGGACCGAAATCGTTTCTTCGATAGCAAAAATACACTAATAGCAATCATATGTCCAATCAAGCCGAAGGCAATCAAATTCGGTAAAGAGTATTTGTAAAATAATTTCAGTCTTTCATTCCAAATTTCTTCAAGTTCTTTTACACCAGGAGAGATGGTAGTATTCATTTTGCACCGGCGCTCAGAATCGCAAAAGTGAGAAAGCGTTACAGGTGACGCTACTCAAAAGTTGGCGCTAGTATCGGCCTTAAAAAATCTTTGATAGATACAAATTTAATCCCTTCCATGTAATTATGATATTAGCAAGTTTTATCCTTTGAATGAGATTGTGAAAAGATAATAGAAAAGTAGAGTTATCATAGTTTGTTTCATTTACAATAAATAAAACTGTATATTTATAAAATTATCCTTCTGCTAAAGCGTATAACTTCATTCATTTACTTTGTAACTTTACCTCAGCGTACGTGCATATTTCAAAGTAAATAATGAAAAGTAAACAAAAGCATTTGTTGATTATCAATTTGCCAAAATTTACAAACAACTCGAGGGGAAAATTTGTTCAAAATTTATCAGAAAATATTACAAAGTATGATGAAAAACTAGACTATTTTTGTAAATACAGGATGTGTTAATAAGTACAATGCTAATATTTTCTTTGGTATTCAATATCTCATACATATGCTTATTATACAGCTAATAAAAACATCTTAGAGTATTGAAATTATTCTTATGGATATATAAGATATATTAATTATTCTCTAAGCCATCAATGCTTGGAATGCTTTGGAAAAGACAAGACGAATATAACTAATTAAATATAATAATTATTTAATTTTGATAAAACATAAGTTCTCTTTTGTTAACATATTTCTTGTAATATTATACGATTGTACGAATTAATATTTAATATTATATTCTTATCATATTTCACAGAAAAGAAGTATAGCCTATTTACCAATGCAATTTCGTTATATTACTTTAACTTTTATTTCGATGAAAATGAGTTGAGGTATTGTTTGCATTCTAAGTAAAGTTTCCTTTATAATTTCTTTCATCTCTCCCTGGTTAATGGCTCCGCAGGAAGGCAAATAAACATATCTATACACCTTTATTTTTTCGTAGAAGATAAAACGGTTCGACATTTTTCCGTCCGCAATTCAAGGAAACAGTTTGCGAGCGTTAGTAAATTAATTTAGAAATAGAAGACCTTCTTTTGCAAATCTTATATTACTTTAACATACATTAGCATAACTATAGTCAACTGAGGAATCTAATTTATTCTATTTCCTTAAAAATATAAGCAATTATTGCTGTATACTCTATCGAAATAATAAGGCTTGTTATTTTCCGAGTATTCTGTATCGGTTGGTAAAAAAGAGGGCATCTACTTTTAACATTAACCTTTTGATTTATGTGCTTCTATTTTAAATACTATCGATTATTTATGGGCACTGTAGCAGATAGAAACAGATAACGTTTCTATCCTACTTTTTTTTAACTGATATACATTATAATCAATGGAGAAAAGGAGAAAAGAGTATTTTACCTTTAACTTTTTTCATATGCAAAATAACAACACCATAAGACGTTTCTGAGAATTTATATTTAAAGAAGAGGATACTTACAGTTGATTTATTTATTTTAAAGTAAAGAATAAACAAGAATGAAAGCTACTCTCCAAGTTCTCTATATGAATTAAAGGAAAATAATAGTATTATCATGGGAAATTTCAAAAATCGTATTCAAGAATATTAAATTAAAATTACCAATTAGTATCATACTTAGTTTAAAACCAATTTATACTTTCACTAAGCTGTATTTTCTAAACATAAACAGATTAAGATGATATTTTATAAATATCTTAATTAATAAAACCAAATTATTCTTTGACAGCTTTTAGTGATATATGCAATTGTAACAAAAATTCTTGGAATTCATTTGATCCATTTACGCTAGAACTCGTTTTAATATAATAAAATAATATTTTTTGTTGATGAGAACGAAATTATCGCCTAATTTTGCCTAGGCCAAAAATGACAGAAAGATTATACCTTGTTTAATAGTTTATCAATTTATAGGCATATATTTTTCACATTTTTTGCTATTGGTAAAAATTACTACTGCTATCTATAAGGCTAACTTTAATATAAAGCAATAGATATTTGAAAAAATCTTACTAAATAAATTTAGGGAAAGTATATGCAAGTCGAAATATCTACTTAAGCATTGACAATTTATTTATAGCATCATCTTAGAAGATGAGGCTGTTGCTATTTACCGTCTCTTTGCTCTTTAACGATCTATTTTAAAAGATATAACGAAGGAATAATAAAATTCCTCCATTGTATGGAACTCTATTTCTTCTTTCTTTATAAATAGAGACTCTATAATGTTTCTAATAATTTACATTCAGTTGGTAAAGCTTGATAATATTGAAGGTCAAACAAAAAAGAAACTAATTTGCATATAGTTTAATTTGTAGCTTAAAAAATATTTATCTTTATGTTTATAAAGTATTCATCAACTATACAACAATGAATACAACTAGACCTAAGTTGACTCATAGCAATTATTTGTTACTAAAAATAAACTGATTATCATCACATTGGTAACGAAAAAGTCTGTAGAAGAGAATTAAAATAAGAAAGAAAGTGAAGAGATTGAGGAAGAAGATGTAAGAATAAAATAATGTGAAAAACACTATCTAGTTACTGTATATGCAATAGATTAATTTATTCAATAAATATTTATATAATCTATTCATTGCATATTACATTTATTATTTTTTTTTATTGATAATAAAGAGTTTTTATGAATGAAAAAGATGTACTACAAACAATCAATGGAAGTTATTAAATTATGCGTTATTTAGATTCAATTTATCGCGATGCTATACTCCCAAAGGAACATTTAAACAAATTTAGCCAATATTTTGAAAATTTTTTAACATTGGCTATAAATATTTCTCTAAATATATATACTGCATGCAGCATATTTACATACTTTTTTATCTAAGAGAGTATGGACAAAAACCCATCTTTTTTTAAAAGCTTGTTGAATGCTGTGATAAATTGGGAAGATAGACAAAAACGTTTACTGATATTTAAATTGTTTTTATTCTTTTAAAGGTTATAATTTACTTGAAGAATAGATTAATTAAATTATCTACTTGATTCCATAACAGATTTAAAAGGTCAGTTTTAAGATAAATTAACAACGTACATAAATCCTTCTTCTGTTCTTACAGTTTCGATATTGCGAGGGAATTCTTTAGGCTATTTTTTGTTAAGATTGCTTTAAGGTATAATTAATAACTCGGTTGCTATGGACATCAACTGAAAGTATACAAATTATATTAGTATATAAACCGTTAAACTTGTTTACCTTTGCGATAATTATTTTTGATAAAAAGAAAAAGGTATTTTTATATTAATAAAAGAATAAGCATTGGAATATGAAATAGAATAGAATAAAGAAGAGAATATATCTGTAAAAGTTGTGCTTTTGCAAATGAGATAAATCGACAGAAATTTAAATGTTTTACTTATATTACGTAATCTATAAAACAAAAAAATTTATTATTTTCTATTAAAGTCTATCAGCTATATAATTTATCAAATAGGAGCGAAACAAAGATATTCCTTAATGATTCAATCAATTAATTGAATCAGAATCAATTAAAATGTTATTAAAGCTTGGTATTCAGCATTATAATTAATCGCTCTACATAACAGTATCTTTTAATATTCTTAACGTATTTTGTTGTTTTTTTCTTTACATTTATTTCCAATAGTGTATATTTGAAAGTCTTAATCGTATAATTATCATATATTCGACATTGAGAATTTTAAAATGTTATTGCGCAATTTATTATTTGTGATCTGCGCATTAATAATTATTTTAAGGTTTATAACAAGGACTCTGTTTGTATTTTCTACTAAAAATTCTATTAAAAGATCAACACCTTTCTTAACAAAGTACAATCGCCTATAACATTTATATTATCAAAGTCAGGAAATATTTTTTTTGTCCTTTGCTTTGAACTACGTAATTGCTGAATTATTAGATAAAGAGTAGTGAAATGAGTGCATACGCTTTTTATCTTATGAAACACAAAAATATAGTAAATTCTCTATAAGTAGATAAAAATAGAAATGAAAAGTAAACAAAATCATTAAGGCTATAACTGAAGTAAATTATAAAATACCATAATTACGGTAAAGAATCTTTACGTCAGAGAGAATAAAATACATTTTCTATTTCCCCTAATAATTAATTTAAGTAATAGTAACAGATTTATTAGGTATAATAGCTCGTTCAAAGATTATGTATTACAGTTGAAAGATTTGAAATGTGATTAATTTGGCTTAATTTATTACTTAGCAGAAAATCTATAATACATTACTCTCTAGTTGAATTAAATGAATCTTTAAGTCATTGCTTTACACTAAGTAGAAAATCGTTTATGGTTGAAAACGAAACAATTGCAAAGATTATGAAAATATAAAATTATCGATTCCTCTCTCTCTCTCTCTCTAGTCTTTCTCTTTCCTCACCACAGCTTTTCTTATAAATCTTATTTCGTCTCGACCTGACCAGTTTTTCTCTCATTGAATTCATCTTTAGCTCTTTTCATCAAACTGGAATCTTCAATAAGATCGATTGCTGTCATCGCTAAAGTCTTCGCCATTTGAATAGTTACAATTTGCGATTTGTCACTTGCTGCTGCTTCAGCAAATTCCCTTGTGTGAATGTTTGCATTTGTTGCTAAAGCGTATTTCGGATGAATACTTGGAACCTCGTGAGAAACATTTCCCATATCAGTTGAACCACTGGGTTTGCAATTATCGTATGGATCCGATATTATGCCAAATTTCTTCGCGTTGGCGCTAAAAGTATCGATCATTGCATCATTGTGCTGAATGCTTTTGTAATGACCTTCGTCAAGTTCTATCTCAACTGTACAATTCGTAGCAATAGCAGCGCTATCAAAACACTTCCTTACGTCTTCTTCCAAACTTATCATTTCAGCCTGAAAGCAACAGTATCTTACTAAAAAGGAAACCTAATTATAAATAGGCTTTTCTTTTGTAAATAAAATATACGCTATGGGTAAACCTCTGTGGGCGTCCTTAAGTAATATTTTAAGACTGATTTCTCTGGGAGTACACATGGACTGACTCCGCCATCAGCGATTATACCTAAAAAAGGAAAAATATAGATGATTTTCTTATCTCATTATTAGAATGGATATTTACCATGAATTCTCCAAGTTGGCCTCATTTTTGACCTCAAGGCTGATATAGAATTATAAGCAATAATTGCAGCATCTAATGGATTGAGCTTTTCCCATATATCCTTAAAAATACAGATGTTCAGTAAACAAACTAATGTATGAACTCATTATACTTTAAGTTCATGATGTGCACTTTTACGATAAGTTATGCAAAAAGACTTTATTGATAAATAGTCGGTTTTAAATGAATTGATTGCTGCAGGATGAACCATCATTGCAGCGTCCACGTCTTTAAAGGCGCCTTTATCAATAAGAAATAATTTTCCCCCATCCGACTCCTCTGCTGGTGTTCCGAAAACAGTTAACTGTAAAATTATGATAAATTTAGAAAATTTATAATTTTCCTAAAATAAAATTTTTTATTTTTAAGAGCAACCTTTCCCCTCAATCCTGCTTTAATCGCTGCTAGAATTCCTAGAGCAGCTGACGCACCAGCTTCTGCAATTAAATTATGTCCACAAGCATGGCCTATTTCCGGTAAGGCATCATATTCGCATAAAACTGCAACATGGGCTTTTGGATCAGGATTTGATGCTGTAACGCGAAAAGCCGTATCGGTAACAAATGACTTTTCAACATCATCAAATCCGTGTTCTGAGAAAAATTTTGTCAAAAGATCATGAGCATAATACTCCTTTAAACCTAGCTCTGGATTTTCCCAAATTTTATCACCGATTTCTTTTAATTGAAGAGAATGATCATCGATTGCTCTACAAGCTATCGTCTTTAAATTGTCGATTCTGTCAGTCATCATAAGTTTCTTCGCCAGCAAGAATTCACCATTCCATATAACTTTCTTTAATATTAAACTTTAACCTTTTAGCTGAAGACAATTGTATTAACAAAGAAAATTATATAAGTAATCTTATCTTAAAGGGTCAAATAGTATAAAAGCAAATAGGAAAAAGAATACATTTCAATTTTATCAGAAACTGATAAAAACATATAAGAGTTTAACATATATCAATGATGAAATTACCCTACTTATCACTTCTCAAGTACTTTCTTGTGAGTATTTACGTAATAACTCTTTGTAAAAGACAGTTTATACTTAATCTTTACACTATCTAATCCAAAATTCAATGACATTGAGAAGAGATTTTTTGAAAATGTAAATAATCTGATTATTATAAGATAGGCAACTATATATTTTTGCATAACAAAACAAATTCTTATTGATAATATATTATAAAAATTTGCATACTATTTGAGAAATTATTAATTAGTTGTATGGACACAGATAGGATTATAATTCTCATTTATGACCATTTATATAAAAGACCCCTTCTAAAATACACCTTAAAAAGTTGACAAAGCTAATTGGCTGTCAACAAAAGCGATATTTCATTTTAAATATTATTACGAGTATTAGTTGACAAATGAACAACAACACTAGTGCGTTTTTTATTGACCTTCATAAAATCTTCATATTGTTCAAATATATATAAACGAGGTGCTATTATTGATTACCATTCAACTCCCAACCGCCAGTTGAACAAGAAAAATCGTTGGTTTCTATGTACTATAATAAGCAAGAATAAGCGTTCGATATTCAAGTGTGGCAGTTCTAAAAATTTATAGTCATTTTATGAAGACCTTCAAATAATAATTCTTAAGAATAATGTCAGAAGATCAGTGCCGAAATTATATCGCTCTACCGAATGGAAAGCATATGTGGGATAGATTTAACTGTCCAAGACCAGGCGAACCAGATAGTCATACTTACTGTTGTTTAAACCCTCCCGATGGTCAAAAGTGCTGTAAATTTTCGGACATGTAAGTATACATCATTTATGTTTTATCTAATGTATTCATTCATAAACGTAGCTAAGTTCTATAAATACTTCTTTACAATTCGTTGTAAATACGTTAATAAATAATTTTTTAATTATAATATTTGATCTATATAAGATTTCTCGAAAGAGATATCTTTTAAATTCTTATATAGTTTACACCTAATGGATTTAAGTAAAATAAGGCTTATTGACAGTAATTGTTCAAACAAAGACTCCTTCTTATTTAAAAATAATAGTTGAAAGAGAATTTTACAAGCCTAAATTAGTATTAAAGTAAAGACAAATAGAATAATCAAACAGAATATATTTAAATATGTAAGCTGTATTGTAAGTTTAATTAGAGGTTCACACTATCATAAATGATAATAGCATATGTAAATCCTTATGAAAGGTAACATAAGTATGTATATATCTATAATTTAACGATAATTAAAATATATGCCACTTCTAAATTAACGCCACTATAACTTATTCATATTTAATACGGATATATTTATTTTTTACAAGTGGTATTTTGCCATAAATAATACATTTTAAAGCGTTACTTCAATAGTAGAATGATATATATTTAATATGTACCATATATATATATCATGTATTATTATTTCCGTACAGAGCTTCCAACATGTTTGGCGTCATATTCTCTTCAATACTAATTGTATCTGTTTTAATAGTATGCATTTACGTGAAGTTAGCACATAAACCAGCGCCAAAAAATGATGATGTTCAAGGTTTTTAGAATTTATTCTTCTCTAAAAATTGTTTCAAAGTTTTTATCTTATTGTTTTAAAGACACAGGTGAAATAAATAACACAACACAAAGCCAAGATTTAACTCAGGAAACATCAGCTGATTAAAGGCAGAAAAAGTTCAAAAAATTACTAAAGAAGGTGGAAAAATACGAAGAAAACAAATTATCTAATCAGTGTATACCGAAGTATTAATAATATTTACTTTTATGCATTTATGCATTTAGTATTAAATTATATTGAGCTTATCAATTAAATTTAGTAAATTTGTAACTTTTCTTTACATCAAATTCCCAATTAAATGAGTATATTAATTATCTCATTTAAGTATAATTACTATTCATTTAATTATGTTTTGTTTTGTATTCTTTTTAAAAAGAAATGTAAAATTCCTCCGTAAGAATTTTAGACTGCAGCATATATCCGAAGGGTCACAGAACAGATGCACACAGTTTAGCTGATCTCATCTAAGCTTAACTATTTTATTTGACTTTCAAGGAATGTAGGTTATTTCACATACAAATCGTTTCTAGGAATCATTTAACCTAATTTTGACAAATTTTTCATCCATCTAGTAATTATTCTTCATAAAATTCCTAATTACATTGTGATATTGAGACGTTTACACAAATATATATAGAGGAAGGAAAAAACAATATATTAGCATGGATAACAAGACTAAATTACACGGTTAAAATCTCTTTTTATACTTTGAATCGTAAATATTCTAAGTATAATATTGCTGTAAATATAAACAAAAATGGTCCAATTTAATTGATAAGATGTTAGAATTTTTCAAATAGTAATATTCAAATAGTAATATATTAGTAATAATAATATAAGCACAGAAAGAAATTTGTACATATCTCATACTTTCAATTTTAAAAATTGTTTGTATAACTCTAATATACAAATATATTTAGCAAGGTATATGGCTATATACTGTATATATGCTTTTGACAAGGAGGAGTGTTGACAAATTGTATGACAACTTCAAGGTCATATACGAATATTTAATTAGGCAGCTGTATAATCAACAATAAGAAAACAAAACGTAAGAATCCTATTCTCGGCTGTTTATAGGGTAGATTTGATAAAAAGCTATTGTGCGAGTAGTTGAAATCTCATTACTTTCTGGTTAAAATTAAAAAAAACAAGGTCTAATTTAATAAACCATAATTTTATAATACAAGAATATCCATTGCAATATGTACTATATATATAATATTATACAGTATATATATACATTATATATATAATATTCTATATATAGATACCTTTATACCTTTATATTTATTTACATTGGTTAATTATAATGCCTTGTTATACTCTATTAAAAAAAATAACATAATAATTTTATTGTTATACCTTAAAAATAACTGATCAATATATTTTCTCAACTTTCCTAACATTTTACTTTCCGCTTTTCTTTCTCTTCTATCTAACATCCTCCTTTCATATATCCTATTTCAGTATATTTATAGTGCTATGACTTCAAACATTGATTACGTAATTCCACCTGTAGATTTACATGCTAACCATTCATTAGATTTTCAATTAATAAGATTTTAGGTCAATATTGACCTTTCATAAAGGGACAATTTTCTAATAAGAGGATTTATTCAATATATACTCATTCTTTCAGAGAATCTAAGAGTATAACTGAACAGCATGTTTGAATAGACTTATACATTTCTTAAAATATTTCAAAGTGATATTTGCTCAATTCACATATTCTAGTGAGTAATGGCATTTATTCGTTTTATGTTACCTAAAAAAATTATATATGTGTCGTCTAAAATTATAGGAATAATGCAATGAAATTGCTTATTTTCCCTTTATTTTCGTATAACTTTGGTTCTATAACCATTACTATATCGTCTATTATACATAAAATAAATAGACAGTTATCTTTAGAGGAAAAAGCTGCATAAACGCAAACAAGAGAACTTTTAGAACAGTTTTAAGGCTACGTAACTTATCGATCTCTCTCTTTTAAATAATAATCTTGGTAAAATTAATATTTATTTAACACTATAGTAATCAGTTTAGGAAGTGATTTTAACCAATTTATGTCACAAGTATAAGTAAAATTATAGTGACAGTTATGTTTAATGTGGTTATGGATAGATAAAGGTTTTTACTTTTTTTACTTTCTCCGAAGAATCTGTAAACAGAACAAGAACTTTTAGTTTGCTTATCACGTACTCCTATTCAGTTTATCTACTTTTTACTCTACGGTAAAAGTTTCTCAGTCGCTCCTTTTGTGAGTTTGTTTCTTGTTTACAATTTCCTCATCAATTCCTCACTTTTTACTTCCGCTCAATGGCTTGTCATTGCTAAATTTAGAAGCAAAGAACCCTCAAGTTAGAACTTGGACTTTTTTCGAAAAAAGGTCTATTATTATTCTGCTTTTCATACTCGACAAGCTGGCTTTTTAAATTCATTTTCGTTTCGTTGAGCATCCAAAGAGGAAACATCAATTTTGGTGATATAAGATAAACAGTAGCAAAACACTAAAAATAAGTCTCAATTTCCTTGACTACATTTAATTGAACCTTGGATTTTTTCATTTTAACTCATTTACTTTTATGGTATACCGAATAAGAAAACGTCGAGATATTGAAAAATCTTTTGGACAAAAATTTCCTCCTATATTAAGGACACTCTATCCTTACGTAATGTAGCCTGCTCTATCTAGACGTTTTTACTTAATCTCAAAACTGCTAAGTTTATTTTATCATTTTAGGCAAGTGCTAATAATCTATTTTCGTAAATTTTTTCTTGGCAAAACTCTTACTGCTAAGAGTTTATAGAAATCACCGGAATATAATCATATTCGTTTATATTTTGGCTACCAGATTCCTTAGATGTAACTATTTTAATATCTCTATAAGAAATCTAATTAGAGTAATGGAGAAGATAGCACCATAATATGATTCGTTCTCAAGGGACACTCGCGATAAACAAGATGAAAACACATTTATTTAAGACACCAATAGTTAATAATTTAATGTTCCATATGTTATGAAAAACAGGGATGGAGTATGTTAAATATGTCTCTATGTGACAACTATGATTTATGATTTACAGTATTAAAGAATCTTAAATTAGCTGAATAAGCATAATTTTTTCTTGATATGTTAATAGCTGACAATTTATGTTATTACTGTCATTTAGAGACAGTAGTATGAAATTAAGACATCTCTATTATACTCTTTCTTCAACAATGCAAAAAAAAGTTAAAACACGCAATCGAACAATTTATCAAAGATTTGTAAGAGAATAACATTCAAAATATCTTTATATTTTAGTAAATAACTGTTAAATACACGAATTATCAAAAAACATACTATAAATTTAAGGGTATCAGAGAAAATATCTTGTAGATGTCTATTCATAGGCTCCAATCTTCAAATTGATTAATTACATGAAAGAGTACATTTCATCATTATTTAATACATTACTTGAAAAAAATTCCTGGTAACAGTAGGGTTTACTCAATTTTTTTCATTAATTCAATAGAAATTTTTTACAAAAAGTTCTTTTGATTATTTAATGTTTTCTCTACTTCTTATTCTATTTTTCAGCACTTTGTATTAGAAAGAAACTTATTTTTCTCAGACTTATTAACCTTTTCCATTAAGTTATTTTGATCAGTTTCTCTCTTCGCATATATTTTTGATTGTATTCCTTTTATTCATGACTGTTACAAGGCTTCAATAAGTTGTTGTTGGTTTTGTCGATTCTAATACTTTCTCAAATGATATTTTTCTAAAACTAGTTCTAAAATATTGATTTCAGTCATATGTCTTCTTATCCAGATCTAAGTCATACTTCAAGACTACGGGATATACTAGTTCTCATTATTCCCAAATATATAGCTAATACTCATCTCTATTGTGAATAATTCCGTTCCTAGGAATTCTAATAATTACATCCCATAGAATATCATTTTTTCAAATAAATGAAAACATATTGTTAACATTCTAGTGACAAAGAATCAAACAAAATTTGCAATAATAAAAACTGTGTTATTAAAACTTTTAGAGTGCACATTTACTGTTTTCTAAAACAACAGCTATTGTGCAATAATATCTACTTTGTCATATACAACACAGAGTGCACCACTAAGCAATACACAAACATGAGTTGCTAAATTCAACTCTGTTCCAGTACTTCATCTAAAACATTCTCACTTATCTAAAACACGTAAAAAAATCAACTTTTTTTAACTTTTCACAAAAAATATTTCAACTTTGTGAACATGGCTACGCATTAACCATAGCATTGTAAGTTAAAAAAGCAATATATCATAAAAAATATCCAATTTTATTTATAAAGTAAAATATATATTTGAATAAAACTGTCTATTAAAATGTAAATCCTTTAAACGACAGATCACAAAATATAAAGTGAATTATTTTTACGAAAGAAACAGAATTATTCAGCTAATTTATATAGTAAATGCTATAAAAAATCAATTAAAAATTTATAAAATCTGGCATGCCCCTGATGTATTGCTATTAGAATTTTGGTACTTGTATTCAAACAAACTGTTTGTGTCATCTCTTTTCTCGGAATTTTTCTGAACACTTTTCTTATTTAACGAAACAGTTGTCGACTGATCTTTTACTCTGCTTGATGTTGACAGTGTTCTACATCCTGGTGCATTCAGGTCAATTTTTGAAATTAATTGATTGAATTCGTCACCCTCCCACAACTTATCGTCTTTCTTTCTGTGAAATCCAATGTATAAAAGTTCCGTAAATGTCATCGACATTGGTCCTTCTGGTGGCCATTTCATGTCTTCTAATAATAAAGGAACAATTGGCTTACTCAATGCTCCTGATAATGAAACTTCTCTTCGACAATTCGCACTCAATGCATACTTTGGAGTAACACATGATATTATCACTTTTGCTCCTCTGATTCCCTTATCAATTTTATCAAAAAGAGAATCTCCTCCTCCCATCTGCATGATATCTAACCAACAGTAATAGCCCATTTCACTAAGCTTTTTATATAGACGTTTAATTTGTGGTTGTTTTCCCCATTGATAAGATATAAAGACATCTGGCGAAACTTCTTGTTCCGTGTTCTCTTCCGATTTCCCATTGCTTGATTCAATGGCCTTTTGTTCTCGTTTCGGAATGATGATTTCTTCTTCCGGTGGATTCATCCATCCTTTATAAGGAGAATCATTCGTAATGAGTTTCATATCTGGTACGACGAAGTATCGAACTTGCATGAGAAGTTCTTGAAATTTTGCTGGCAACCAAAATACAGAGTCGCCTTTTTCCATTCCACCAGACTTGAAGAACCTAATATACAAATATTCAGACATGATTGGTCCCATCGGACCTGCAGGAGGCCACGATAATTGTTCCATGAGTATTGGTATCATTGGTTTTCCAAGATTTGTTGACAAGTTAACTTCTCTACAGCAATTTGCGGATTTTGCATATTTCTCACTTACACAACTGATAATCACTTTGGCTGAACGAACACCATCATCGATTTTGGCGTATAATTTGTCACCTCCACCCATTTGGCCAATGTCCATCCATGCCTTGAATCCGGCCATCTCCAAGTGTTTACGCAGAAGTTTCACTTCTTGTTGATGTCCCCATTGATAGCTGAGAAACACTTCTGGTTTCTCAAACTCTTCATCTTCGTCATCTTGAACAACATCTTTCACATTTGCAAGTGCACTTTCCACAATTTCAGCAGCGTCTAATCTGTTCATTTCTTTCAGATTAGTTAAAATGGCGTTTGTAGCTTCTCTTGTTTTGTGAGTAGCAAACCATTCATCAAACATCGATAGACAAGGATCTGGTTGAGTAGCCCAATTTCGTATATCGTCGTTTGTATAGTTGAGTTTCATAGCTAAGAGTCTCCAATCGTGATCGGTTTGATCATTCATTAATTCGGAAACATGACGAGTCCAAGCGGGAGCATGTGAAAGAGTCATATGACTGAGTTCTTCAACTCTTTCATCGAGTCCTTTGATTGTATATTCAATTTGATCAATGCGTTCCTTAGTTTCTTTGACATCTTGTTTAACATTGGCGACGTCTTCTTTAGTTTCTCTGACATCATTATCAAGATTTTCAATTTTATCTTCATTATTCGTAACTCTGGAATCTAAATTATCAATATCTTCTCTTTGTTCTTCAACATCATTTGCTACATTCGCCAGAGTTCTTCCTTCTAAAACATTGATGACATCAGCAGCTGCACTTTGATACTTCCCGTCTTTCATATTCTGTATTTCTTTTTGGTAAGTGACAACTGCATTTTTGTACTTTTGAGCAATTTGCTGAAGGGCGTATAGAATTCCTTTGGTATATGGTGTGTCCTGATTCTGGAGATGCTTTTCCCATAAAGCTTTACTATAGAATTTTGCTCTCTCTTCAGTAGTACATAGGGCTAATATAATATTATCTGGTATATAAAGTCCACCATATTGGGAAAACTTTATGGCATTGGCAAAGTTATCATGATAATTTTCTAAGGTCTCTACTCGATGTAGTATTATTTGTTGAATTGCTGTAAAAGCAAATGGTCCGTCGACATAGTCGATTAAAAAGTCAACCATTTTCTGCGTTATTTCTTTTGGGTTATGTTGTCCAATTTTGGTTACTAGTTGTACAAAATTATTAAGTCCTATTTGACCTTCGTCCTCAGCTATATCTTGAATTTCCTCTAGGTGTTTGTGAATATAATCTGCACAACTAGGATACAATTCGGTAACTTTTCCTGTAAATATATTAGTTATTTTTTTACAGTATTTTGCAGCGTTATATAATATTTAGTATTTGTACCAAAGATTCGAATACTTCTCTCTTCAATGAATTGATCAATGATGTCGTGTCCTGTATCAATTCCTATCAACTCTATTTTATCAGATAAACCTAATATTGTTTCTGATGCTGCTTTCTGTATTTTTAAATAAACGACTGTAATTGCTAGAGTAATGAAAAGAAAAATTTTGTTGAACCTGTAGTTCTTTATCTTCATATCGCTTTCTTAAAAGTCTCAGTGTTTCGATTGTTGGCTCAAATAGAGCAGTGAATTCAAAATTCTGAAAAAATTTAATTATACATTATCAGATTTCTCTTCTTATTTAATACACTGAAAGTACATATTGATAAATAGAGTTCATTGTAACTTTTAGGATTTGTCCGGCTAGTGTTCTCTTTTCATCATCACCGATACATATCTGTTTTGCAATCCTCGAATCATCATTTGAAATAGACCAGGAATTGTTGTAGCAAGCATTAAAGAGCTCACCCAAAGCATCCTTTATCTGAAGAAGTTTCCTATTTTTTCTATAAAATTTTGGTGAATTAATAAAGAAAAACATTCATTTATTCTATTCTACATACGCTAAATCAATATTGACTTGTTCAAAGACTGCTTTTGTAACCCTACAGATCTTATCTTCAGCATCGCATATATTTTCTTTTTTGTCTATGATTATTTTAAGCTTAACAAGAATACTCTTGAATGTTGATATTTCGCCCTGTATAAAAAAGATACATCATAATTTTCAACTATTGAGAATTATCATGTTTGGACCTTCCATTTTAAAGTTTGTATAAATCCAACAATGAAATCATGTAGTTGATGTTTAGAAAAATCAAAAGTCGCTTCAATAGCTCGAAAAATATCTTTTTTTAGTTTGCTGATGAGTCCCTGGTTTCTAAATACAATAGAAAATATATTAGAATATAGACTGCGTTTTGTTAATATTCAACGCAACTGTAACACTTCACAGATTGTTGAACCAATTGTCCAATAGCCACTACGTGATCTTTCATCATAGTAGATTTTAGTCTTATAAGCCAAATCAAAAGTATATGAAAATATATCGGGATTTTGATGGAAATTTATTAAGTTCTTATTCATAGCGTCAACGAAAAATGTTCTTATTATTTTATCCCATGGATTTTCAAGTAACACTTTTAAAAATTTTTTTGAATTTTCTTTATCTTGTCTAAAAATTGAATGAAACTTTTTATAACATCTATTACAATGACATTCAAGAATCTTACTGAATAAGATAAAAATACTTTTCTTGAAAATGCTTTTTTCTCAAATCAACCACTTGGTTAGCTTCTGGTCCTGTTCTAATGTTAGCTATCTCATCCAAAAATTGATCATAGTGGCTTTTCATACCAACCTCCACAAACTAAATATTTTTAGAAAGCAATATACATTAGGAATTAAGACGCACTATTCTCTAAAAGTTATACTATAAAACCTACATCAATTGTTAGAAAGTTTCCATTAAGGTATTTAAATAAGCTATCAACAAGGCGTTTGACGACTCTCTCATCATTTTTATACATTGTATAAGAAAAGTCATAAGCTTTTGCTAATAATTTATTCGTAGGATTATTTCTGTAAAAGAAAAACTTAGTTCTTTCTAAAGACGAAAAAATTACTAGTGAACTACTTTACTTTATTGCATAGGTCAGAGAAGTTGTGATTAGAAGCTCAATAACATCCTTAGGATATCTATTTGAAAGAAAATCGGGAGAAAACATGATTTTCTGACATTTGGAGAAGGCATAATCGTAAACTTCTGTGTCCAAATTCTAAATAGCGTGAATTATTGATTTTTTATAAATTTTATAGTAATTTTATACAAACGATGAAAAGAATCTCTGCTTTCTCCTTTTTAGAGATTTTCTCCAATGGACGTTCAAAAATTGAGCGCACTTTAGCAATCAAATATAAATAAAATACGTGATCACTATCTTTTTCTTTGTACTTTAATGCAGTTTCAGCCCAAAATATGAATATTTCTATAAATTCTTTTTTACTTTCTTTAACAGCCTTAGAACTAAAAATATATAATATGGCTAATAATGCACTAAGTATAAACCAATAAATTTTATCAATCTTACCTGAAACTCTCCAATAATTCACCAGCTGGGTAAGGCATATTTCCGGCCCATTGTTTCAGATCATTCTCACCTTTTGGATCAAACTCTCTTTTAAAAGCATTAATAAGTCTTTTCAGTTGAATATCTGTTGTATTCGTCTGTTGTATAGATTTTTAATTATTTATAAGATCAGAATTAGCACAATTAAACATAAACCTCGGCGTATTCGGTAAATTTTTTTACATGTATTAATGACCTTAGCGAACTGTAATTATCAGATGTTACGCAATCTTCTTCATAGACTTTAATGATAGTTTCCACACACTCATCAAATAACTGATTTACCATTTCATTATCTTTTATACTGGATGACCATAAAATTAAAATCACTTTATTCTCAGCAAATCGCTTTTAACGATTAAATGAACCTACTTGGAACCTAAACGCCGGACAATTACGCCGCATTCTTCAAAGGCCGATGACGCCGAATCATTGTTGATCGGTAATGGTTTCTTCATCAACTCCTTCCGAAAAAATTTTATAAATTTTAAGCAATCGTCCACTGAAGCTGTTTCGGGACAATCTTTCCGACAAATTTCACGAAACTTGGAGAGTTTATCATCAGTTATTCCACTAAAAGGAGAAAATTTATCAACTTCTTTTATAAAAACATCCATCATTCGAAAATCAAGGTGTTTTGTTTACGAATTTTCAATTTCAAAATGAAATATGAGGTTAAGCAATCTATATAGAAAATTTGAGCTGCGCTGTTATTAGTTAGTTTCACCTTGCCAACAAGCATAACATAGAAATAATCAATTCCTAAAGCACTTTCGTAGAAAATAAACAATTCGCTGTAATAATAAATCAATTAAGTAATAAAGATAGCTGTGCTATATGCAAAACGATCATGCTTCATATCAAAAAATATACAAAACATGTGTAACTGAACAAAAAAACAATCGTTTTAGCAAAGCTTATAACTCGTTTTTATGAAAAATTTGTATCTAAAGAAATTATATTATTTAAAGTAACACAACTCAAAAAAATTTGTATTTCAAGATTTTCATTCAGCCACAACAATAACTTCACAAAAAAAACCTTTAATTCATTTCATGTCGACAATAGTATTTACTAGAATATAAACTTTTATCCATATATACAGCACCATTTGCACTTTAAAAAATATACTTTTTTAAAATTATTAAATATTTATAAAATTGAACAGGTAGATGACTTTTTCGGAGGATTATCACGATTTTCCTCTTCATTTCTCCTTCTCAACTCTGTTTCTCGCCTCTGTTTCTCCTCATTTTTTCGCCTATTATCTTCTTCTACCTTTTTCAATTCTAGTTCTCGCTTCATTATTGCTTCTTCCCGCTTTCTAATTTCTTCTTCTCGCATTCTGATTTCCTCTTCTTGTTTCCGTTTTTCTTCAGCCAGTTTCTTCATTTCTTCAGCCTCCTTCCTTCTTTCTTCTTCAATTCTTTTCGCATTTTCCTTCTCCAACTCTTTTTGCTTATTTTCCTCTTCCAATTTTCTTTTACGAGCCGCCTCTTCATCATCTTTAGCTTTTTTATTACTTTCATTAGTCTCCGCTGCCTCCGAAATCATTCGACATCCTGGTGCATTCAGGTCAATTTTTGAAATTAATTGATTAAATTCATCACCCTCCCACAACTTATCGTCTTTCTTTCTGTGAAATCCAATGTATAAAAGCTCCGTAAATGTCATCGACATTGGTCCTTCTGGTGGCCATTTCATGTCTTCTAATAATAAAGGAACAATTGGCTTACTCAATGCTCCTGATAATGAAACTTCTCTTCGACAATTCGCACTCAATGCATACTTTGGAGTAACACATGATATTATCACTTTTGCTCCTCTGATTCCCTTATCAATTTTATCAAAAAGAGAATCTCCTCCTCCCATCTGCATGATATCTAACCAACAGTAATAGCCCATTTCACTAAGCTTTTTATATAGACGTTTAATTTGTGGTTGTTTTCCCCATTGATAAGATATAAAGACATCTGGCGAAACTTCTTGTTCCGTGTTCTCTTCCGATTTCCCATTGCTTGATTCAATGGCCTTTTGTTCTCGTTTCGGAATGATGATTTCTTCTTCCGGTGGATTCATCCATCCTTTATAAGGAGAATCATTCGTAATGAGTTTCATATCTGGTACGACGAAGTATCGAACTTGCATGAGAAGTTCCTGAAATTTTGCTGGCAACCAAAATACAGAGTCGCCTTTTTCCATTCCACCAGACTTGAAGAACCTAATATACAAATATTCAGACATGATTGGTCCCATCGGACCTGCAGGAGGCCACGATAATTGTTCCATGAGTATTGGTATCATTGGTTTTCCAAGATTTGTTGACAAGTTAACTTCTCTACAGCAATTTGCGGATTTTGCATATTTCTCACTTACACAACTGATAATCACTTTGGCTGAACGAACACCATCATCGATTTTGGCGTATAATTTGTCACCTCCACCCATTTGGCCAATGTCCATCCATGCCTTGAATCCGGCCATCTCCAAGTGTTTACGCAGAAGTTTCACTTCTTGTTGATGTCCCCATTGATAGCTGAGAAACACTTCTGGTTTCTCAAACTCTTCATCTTCGTCATCTTGAACAACATCTTTCACATTTGCAAGTGCACTTTCCACAATTTCAGCAGCGTCTAATCTGTTCATTTCTTTCAGATTAGTTAAAATGGCGTTTGTAGCTTCTCTTGTTTTGTGAGTAGCAAACCATTCATCAAACATCGATAGACAAGGATCTGGTTGAGTAGCCCAATTTCGTATATCGTCGTTTGTATAGTTGAGTTTCATAGCTAAGAGTCTCCAATCGTGATCGGTTTGATCATTCATTAATTCGGAAACATGACGAGTCCAAGCGGGAGCATGTGAAAGAGTCATATGACTGAGTTCTTCAACTCTTTCATCGAGTCCTTTGATTGTATATTCAATTTGATCAATGCGTTCCTTAGTTTCTTTGACATCTTGTTTAACATTGGCGACGTCTTCTTTAGTTTCTCTGACATCATTATCAAGATTTTCAATTTTATCTTCATTATTCGTAACTCTGGAATCTAAATTATCAATATCTTCTCTTTGTTCTTCAACATCATTTGCTACATTTTCTAACGTCCTTCCGTCTAGTACATCAAATATTGCTAAAATAGCATCTTTATGTTTTCCTTCTCTCATTTTTTCAAATTCTTGTCGGTATTTGGCAACTGGTTCTTTGTATTTGTGAGCCATTGAACGAAAAGAATATAGAAGAGATGGTGTATAAGGTGTTTCACCAGTCGCAATATGTCTTTTCCATATAATGTCAGTAAAATAACTGGCCGTCTGCTCGGAATTTGAAAGATCAGCTGTTAAATTACAAAACATACCGCCGTATTCGTGATTTTGAATGAAGTCACCAATCGTTGTGTGGTGTTTTTCTAAGAGGCGTGAGTTTGTCGTTGCGATTTTTTGAAAGATTTGAAAAGTTGACGCCGCTAGATGTCCGTCTAAATATGTCATTAAGAAATCAACTATGTCTTCCGTGATTTGTTCAGGATGATGTTGAATGACTTTTCCCATTAATTGAACGAAATAGTGCATGGCCAGATTTTCTTCTTCCTGAGTTATTTCCAAAATTTCAGGGATCTTCTCATGGATATAGTCAGAGCAGTTTGGATACATTTCAGCAACCTTTCCTATAAATGATCATCTTCCTTATTATATTAATTTTATTTAGAATAATTAAGTTTGTAACCTAAAAGAGCACCATTTCTTTCTTCAAGAAATTCATCTATAATCTCTATACCACCTTCATCCCCTAATAGTTCCATCTGATCTGTTAAATTTTTTATCAAGTCAGTTGCTGCGTTCTGTTTTGAAAAGACAATTCAGTGTCGCCGAGCTAAAATATCAACTATTAAACCTGTAACTCTTGGTCATCGTCTTGTCTTTTTAATTTCTTTATTACTTCGATAACCGGAAATAAAAGTTCACTATAGTCGTTATTCTGAAAAATTTCATATGTTATCTAATATTTCGTCTGTCTTTATTGAATAAGTACTGTCTGATAGATCGTTTTTAACGAAGTCTTCAGAATGTGTCCTGCCAGAGTTCGCTTATCATCATCATTAACAATCAATTTTTTTGCGATTCTAGGATCGTCATCATCAATGGACCATGGTAGGTCGTAACAAGCGTTAAAAAGTTCACCCAAAGTATCCTTTATCTCAAGTATTTTCTTATTTTTGCTGTTCAAGTTCAATAGCTTGTAAATATTAAAAAAAATTATGACATCGGCTTTCATACCCGACTCCATATGAGATTCTTTCTATAACTAATTTTGCAGTTTCGCATATTCTATCTGATGGATGACTTAGGTCTTCTTTTCTCGCTATAATAACGTTCAGTTTACGAAGAATACTATGAAATGTCGCTAATTCATTCTTGTTAAAAATTTAACGAATTATTAGTACACTGAATGTAATAATATACATTGCCGTAAAATGTGTCACTGGTTATACCTTCCATTCAATTCCATAGGTCATTCTGAATACAGCACTGTGTAGGTGATGCTTAGAGAAATCGAAAGCTTTATCGATAACTTTTACAATATCTTTCTTGAATTTTGCAATACAGTTTTGCTTGCTAAGAAGTTTATGTAAAGAGAAAAAATCTTAATACCATGGCTATTAAATGTGTTTTAAAACAAACTCTAATGCTTCGTAAAGTGATAAACCAATTTTCCAATAGCAATCCAATATTCTCTCGTCATAATCTAATTTCGCATTATAAGCAACATCAAAAATATATGAAAATATTTCGGCATTCTTTTTAAAGTTTATAAGCTTCTTTTTTTCTAATTTTTCCACATAAAACGTATTTAGTACTTCTCTCCATGGATTTTCAAGAATTACTTTTAAAAAACGTTTCAACTGTTCAATATCATTTCTGAAAATCCAAATTAAATATGAATTCTTATCATTTATATTACTAATTTATATTATCTTACTGAATGATGGAAAAAAACTTTTCTTCAAAATGCTTTTTCCTTAATTCAACTAGACTAGAGCATTCTTCTCTTGTACGTATACTGGCTAATTCGTCTAAAAATTGATCAAAATGATCCTTCATACCAACTGCCTTAAACTATTAATTTTTGAGAAAATTAAAGGAAATAATTAACATTATTAAATGAATTATATTTCAACTTACATCAATAGTAAGATATCTTTCATTCATCTTTTCAATCATTTTCTTTGAAAGATATTTGGAATCTTTTTTTGCATTTTTTCTTATATCCATGCAAAATGCAAAGGCTTTTGCTAAGAGTTCATTGTTGGTAGTATGTCTATTAATATGTTATATTTTTTAAATCTTTTATCAATTAAAACAGTTATTTGCTTACTCTAGTTCAATCGCTAACGACTCCTTCACTAAGAATGAAATAATATCATTGACATATCTGTTAGCCCCATAATCTTCTGACATCATAATTTCACGAAACTTTCCAAACGCATAGTCATAAATTTTCATATCTAAATCCTGAATAACTTTTCTTTAGAACTATATAAAATTGATAGTAATTTATAACAAACCATAAAAAGCATACATCTATTATTGTTTTCTTTCCTTGAGACTTTCAATGGTGACTCAAACACCGAAAGAATTTTGCTGACCAAAGCTATTTTATTCCTGGTGCCGTCATCGTCACCTTTATACTTCATTGAATTTTCACACCAAAATAGCAGTAACTCAATCATTTCCTTTTTATTTGATTCGCAGACTTTAGGACTAAATATAAATAATATTAAATGTATTCTTTAGATATTTCAATAAATATTTATTTTTACTTTATCATATCCAATATTTCACCAGCTGGATAAGGCATATTTGATGTCCATGATCGAACATTAGTCTCTTTTTTTGGCTCAAATTCTCTTTTGAATGCTTGAATAAGCCTTTTCATGTGAGTTTCTGTAAAGTTCTCCTATAAAAGAATTTATAACTCTTGTTCAAATGAAGAATAAACTAATATTTATATATTTTCTAACCTTAGCATATGTTTTAAAGTTGCTCCCATATATTAGATCCCTAAGGGAACTATAATTTCCTGAAGTTACGCAATCCTCTTCGTAAACCTTTAGTATAGTTTCAATAAACTCATCATACAATGGTTTTACTATTGGAAGTTTGTCGTCTCGATTATATTGACTGGAAAAGAAAAGTAAATATAGTTAATGATTCAAACATTTAGTTGTGCAGTTATTAGAAAACACATTCTGCAAGAATAAAGAATTCTGATTAATAAAAGTGTTTAATATATTATTAGTAATATTATGAAATATTCTCTAATAACGCTTACTCGTTGATCCTATATTTTAAATATTGGCCGAATTCACGGAAAGCCGATTCACCATTTGAATTGTAAACAGGTAATGGCTGTTTTAATAATTCCTCTCGAAAATACTTCGTAAATATAATTAGCTCAGGAATAGTACATTCTTTTGGAGCACTTGACGAAAAAATTTCTCTGACGTCTGACAGTGCACCCTCCTCTATTTCACCAAACGGGGAATATTGCCTAAGTAGTTTTATAGCCTTGTCCATACTTTATCGGCTATTCACCCAAAACGATTTGTCTTTGGCTGCTTACTTCCAAAAATTGAACTTTTTAGTGGTCTAAGGAAAAATATTCTGCTGAGTTGACGAACGTCAATTGTAACTTGGCAACGAATAGAGAAACAAAGATATAATCAATGGCTTCATATATTATTTGCTAAACAGAAATCGGTATAAGAATATATTAGATTATTAACCGAGACTACTTACGAAAGTAGGACATAAAAAGCGGTAGTCCAATGGAAGGGCACCTATATGAGTTGTAATATTAAGGCCAAAACATATGGCCAAAAACAATCATTATAAAAAAGATAATAATTCGAAGGTGGCTCTGAAATCTTTGGATTATTATCAGAAAAAAAGATACGGCATAAGAGATATGTACTGTTAAACCAGATAACTTTTATGTGTCTTAGGTAAATTTGATCATTAAAAATCTCTATTTCATATTGTACAATCATGAGCAAAAATTTTACAAAATTAATCAGTATTAATAAATTCAATATTTCTATCAGAGTAAGGTACACATTGATGATTTCTTTGCTCGCGGTTGAGCACTCTTATTTTCATCTTTTTTACTCCTATCTTCTTCTTGCTTTCTCTTTGATTCTTCCTCTTGTTTCCGTTTTTCTTCAGCCAGTTTCTTCCTTTCTTCAGCCTCCTTCCTTCTTTCTTCTTCAATTCTTTTCGCATTTTCCTTCTCCAACTCTTTTTGCTTATTTTCCTCTTCCAATTTTCTTTTACGAGCGGCCTCTTCATCATCTTTTGCTGTTTTACTACTTTCCTTCGTTTCCGCTGCCTCCGAAATCATTCGACATCCTGGTGCATTCAGGTCAATTTTTGAAATTAATTGATTAAATTCATCACCCTCCCACAACTTATCGTCTTTCTTTCTGTGAAATCCAATGTATAAAAGCTCCGTAAATGTCATCGACATTGGTCCTTCTGGTGGCCATTTCATGTCTTCTAATAATAAAGGAACAATTGGCTTACTCAATGCTCCTGATAATGAAACTTCTCTTCGACAATTCGCACTCAATGCATACTTTGGAGTAACACATGATATTATCACTTTTGCTCCTCTGATTCCCTTATCAATTTTATCAAAAAGAGAATCTCCTCCTCCCATCTGCATGATATCTAACCAACAGTAATAGCCCATTTCACTAAGCTTTTTATATAGACGTTTAATTTGTGGTTGTTTTCCCCATTGATAAGATATAAAGACATCTGGCGAAACTTCTTGTTCCGTGTTCTCTTCCGATTTCCCATTGCTTGATTCAATGGCCTTTTGTTCTCGTTTCGGAATGATGATTTCTTCTTCCGGTGGATTCATCCATCCTTTATAAGGAGAATCATTCGTAATGAGTTTCATATCTGGTACGACGAAGTATCGAACTTGCATGAGAAGTTCCTGAAATTTTGCTGGCAACCAAAATACAGAGTCGCCTTTTTCCATTCCACCAGACTTGAAGAACCTAATATACAAATATTCAGACATGATTGGTCCCATCGGACCTGCAGGAGGCCACGATAATTGTTCCATGAGTATTGGTATCATTGGTTTTCCAAGATTTGTTGACAAGTTAACTTCTCTACAGCAATTTGCGGATTTTGCATATTTCTCACTTACACAACTGATAATCACTTTGGCTGAACGAACACCATCATCGATTTTGGCGTATAATTTGTCACCTCCACCCATTTGGCCAATGTCCATCCATGCCTTGAATCCGGCCATCTCCAAGTGTTTACGCAGAAGTTTCACTTCTTGTTGATGTCCCCATTGATAGCTGAGAAACACTTCTGGTTTCTCAAACTCTTCATCTTCGTCATCTTGAACAACATCTTTCACATTTGCAAGTGCACTTTCCACAATTTCAGCAGCGTCTAATCTGTTCATTTCTTTCAGATTAGTTAAAATGGCGTTTGTAGCTTCTCTTGTTTTGTGAGTAGCAAACCATTCATCAAACATCGATAGACAAGGATCTGGTTGAGTAGCCCAATTTCGTATATCGTCGTTTGTATAATTGAGTTTCATAGCTAAGAGTCTCCAATCGTGATCGGTTTGATCATTCATTAATTCGGAAACATGACGAGTCCAAGCGGGAGCATGTGAAAGAGTCATATGACTGAGTTCTTCAACTCTTTCATCGAGTCCTTTGATTGTATATTCAATTTGATCAATGCGTTCCTTAGTTTCTTTGACATCTTGTTTAACATTGGCGACGTCTTCTTTAGTTTCTCTGACATCATTATCAAGATTTTCAATTTTATCTTCATTATTCGTAACTCTGGAATCTAAATTATCAATATCTTCTCTTTGTTCTTCAACATCATTTGCTACAGTTTCTAACGTCCTTCCTTCCAATACGTCAAGAATTGACATTATGCTATCTCGTAATTTTGGGTCGTCTTTTAGTTTTTCCAATTGAGGTTTATACTCCTCAACAGTCTCTTTAAATCGTAGGGCAATGGATCGTAGTGTATAATAAGCACTTATCGCGTAAGTTGGATCATTTTTTTGACATATCTCCCATGTCAGCTTGGCATTTGTTTGAGCTAGTTCTTTTGTTCGGGACAAGTCCGGCAGTAGTTGTAAAAAGACATTACCGTGTTCGCCTTGTCTAATGAGATCATTGATTCTGGTGTGGTAATTATCAAACAACTGAGGTCTTTTTGGAGCCAGTTTTTGTAAGAAAAAGAAATATGCAGTTCCAAAGTTTGTGTCTAATATGCTCATGACATAGTCAAATACTTTTTTTGTTATTTGTTTGGGATCATTGTCGGCAATTTTATTCAATAAGGTTTGTAAAGTGATCATTCCTACATCTCCATTTTCTTCTGCGATATCTAGTATCTCTTCTAAGCTTTCGTGTATCTTGACTTGACAGGATGGATACATGCTGGCTATTCGATCTGAATTGTTTATAGAAACCTTAAAGTATATCAGTAAAATATTTAAAATAGACGGCTACCTAATTGAGATATCTCACGATCATTCAAAAACTCTTCAATTATATCTTCTCCTGCTTCATCACCAAGAAGTTCCATTTGATCAGTTAGTTCACTTACTAAGTTCTTGGCACACTCCTTTATATAAGAGAAATTCTTCAAATACCTTAAGTCAGTAGTTACTATCTTACTTGTATCTGTTCATCGTCGTCTTGTTTTTTCAGCTTCTTTAACGTTTCGACAATTGGTTGTACAAAATCATTGAAGTCGTTATTCTAAGTTATTGATATTAGTGTTATTAATTATACAATCAACTAGACTCTTTATTTTACCGGTTCGTAGATATTGGTCATAAGTTTAATGAGAATTGTTCCAGCGAGCGTTCTCCTCTCATCCTCATCCAAATCTCTATCATTAACAATCTTATCATCAGAATCGTAAAGCCACGATAACTTAACGCAGTATTTAAAAAGATCAGCAAACGAGTCAGCGTATTCAATAAATTTTTTATTTTTTCTTTGAGAAAACATTAAATTAAATTTAAAACAGATTGAATTTTCATATATACCCATTGTGATAGTTAACATATTCAGTTACTTGTGAAGTTATACGAACTATAACATCATCCTTTTCTATATATGAATTCTCTTTTTCCACATGAACTCTCAGCTTTTTAACAATTCTAGAATATCTCTCGATCTCTCCCTATAATTATAATTCTTTTACATATTTTATATTAATTTTATTCTATAATGCTCACTTTCCATTCGACATGGTACAGTAGATTGCTGCAAGCAGAATGATAAGGGTGTTTGGGTACTTCGAAGCATCGTTCCAAAATATCTAATAGATCTTTTTTCCGTTTTGTCAATAATTTTTCCTTTCTGTTAAAGATATTTGTTTTAATTTTGCAAATGAATTCGTTTATACACTTACTCAAGTAACTGGACACAACTTTGGCCTATTATATCATAAGCACTCTTAAATCTTTCATTATATTCATACTTTGATTTATACATTAAATCAAAAATGAAATTAAGTATTTCCGGATTTTCTTTAAAAGTGAATAGTTTCTTTTGTGTAACATGGTCGTCAAAATATTCCCTGCATATGCCATAATAGGGATTTTCTATCAAAATTTGAATAAATTCCTTCAATTTGTTAATATCTTTCCTGTGTAAAATTAAAAACTCAAATGATAAAATAGCTCATATTCTTCATTAAAATTGACAAACTTTAATTTCGGAAGATACTCCTTCGCGTAACTCTTTTCGTACTTATCCCGTACAAGAGAGACTTGATTTTCATTTTCTATTGCTCGTAAATCGTCTAAGAATTGGTCAAGGGCACTTTTCATTCCAATAGCTTCAAACTGTTATACATATATACAGCATATACATTTATACTGTGTTAATATATGTAATTCAAACACATGATAGATTACATCAATTAATGATAGCTTTTCTTGAAACGTCGTCTTCATATCTTCTACTATATCAAAAGCTTTTCCATTGCTTGACGAAGCAAATTTATTGTATAAACCATAGACTTTTCCTAACATCTTTGAATCATTACTTTCTCTAAAAGGAAAAAAATTATAAGATATACTATCAATCGTAACCTATCTTTCAAGTATTTATCTTACTGGATAAAGCTTGTAAGGCAATTTTGTACAAGAAGTTGCATGTTATCTTCGGGATAACGATTTGGAGGAAAGTCTTTATTTGAGAGTATTTTGTCTGCTCTTGATAAAAATGAATCGAATGTTTTGTCATCAATGTCCTATGTACATTAGAACAAGATTATTGATATATCATTAATGCATATGAAATTTACCATAAATAAAAGTGCTCCCTTCTCATCATCAAGCATTGAATTGCAAGCAGTTTCGAAAACACTACTCATAAGATTCGTAAACTGTATAAAATGTTCAACAGAGTCGTCATCTTCCTTATACTTCATACCTGTCTCTGCCCAAAATAGTAATCCGTGAATTATTTCAGCTTTACACTTTCTAAGCACTTCGAATCTGAAATTTTAATATCAATAAAACTTTCTTGTAGAATAGCTAGTCAGATAATCTCTACGTACTTTACACAGCCGATGATCTCACCCAAAGGATAGTATACATCGTTTTTCCATGTAGTCAAGGTTGTGTCATTTTCCCTAGGTTTGAAGTCACGACAAATTCCTCTCATCAAACGTCTAATATCATCTACTGTTACTTCTTTCTAAAAAGTTAAAATCAGTTTATCTTATTTGTTTTCTTTAAACAAAAACTGTTGCTAACCTCAATATAGTCACTATAATAGTCAAATTGAAGTATGGTTCTAATTGCGTCACAATTTCCAGACGTTACATAGTTTCCTTCATAAGCAGTTGTTATAAGATTCATTAAATCTTTATAAAGAGGTTTCAAGTGTTCCAAATTCGATTCATCATTGCTATAATGTCTAAAAAGTCGGAAAGAAAAAAAAATGTTAGATTCACCCCTTTTATCATTTATTCTTATGTAAAATATCTATTTTTTTTACTTTTCATTAGTTGAAAAATGAAAAATAATTTGTTCATAAGTATACTAACTCAGAGATAACATTTGATAAATGACGAAATGCTTCATTGATTGCAGACTCTCCAGGAGAGCTGCCACTCGAACCTTTTTCATTCAATAATTCCGGTTTAAGAACGTTTCCATAAGAGAGTAAATCTTTAATGCTTGGCTTATTTTCGGTCGATACGTCATAGAGTTCATCTTCAAATTTCGCTTGCTTTTCTTCTGTTATTTGAGCAAGCGGAGAATATTTCTTTATTAATTTTATTCCCTTGTCCATAGCAAAAATCTACAAGAGTAGACTGGTATTAATTATTATTGTCTAAGGCTTCTACCAAAATACGCAGTTGATAATAAACTACAGAATATTTTCTAGAATAAGGAAAAATTTGCTGAACTGACACCGTCAAGTGTAACCTAGCAATTTATAAATAAGTGCGAAACGAATCAATAGTACTGGTTTTATCTACATGGAGTTATTAATATTGCAAAAGAGTCTTATCACATTATTTTTTTTTATCACCAAGCTAAAATTCACTTTTTTCACAACTATCAACAGCTTAGTGTTTTCATTTCTTTGAACACAAATAAGTATGGTATAAGAGCGTTAGGAACAAACTCTTATTCCTGATACGTTATAAACATGCTTAACCAATGTTAAGTACTAACGTATCGGTATTACAACTATGTAACTATGTAAATGTTAAATTAAAGCAGTCAAGAGCATTTTTTTAGAATTATACAAACTTTTCCTAAACCTACATAGCAGAAATAACAATTGCTGCGCAAAATATACTTGGAGATTTGTTTGAGATAATATCAAACTGTTCATTTTATAGTTTAAGACGTAGGTTACTATTTTATATCAGTATAAATGTTATAGAATTGATTTTATTGTTTATATCTTATATTTAGAGTTGTAATACAAATAACATAAATTTTTTATAACTCCATCTTTTTGAATCTTAAACTGGTTACCTGATTATAAATGACAACGGACTCAATTTAACACTCTTATTAACTTGTATTTAATATTTTCCACATGTCTTTTTATAGTTTGCTCTATTTTAGGAAAAGTATTTGAACATCAAATAAAGGGATTGTACAGAAATCAGATCATAAAGGCCTTTCTGCCACTATTCAAATAAATAGTGGGAAAATAAGGTAACTTAAAAATAAGGTTTTAGCATTCAATAACTGAATCTCTTGCAAATGACTAATATATTATATTCTACACTAGATTTCGTCAATAAATTTTTCATGTAGTCCTTAGAGGAATAAATCAACACAAATCAATATTTTCCATAAACACTCACCAGTAAGATTTGTATCAATACAGAGTCAATTAACAAATTTAAAGAAACCTTATCAAAAACTCTAACCTATTGAGAAAATTAAGCTTATCTTGTAATTTTTAAAATCTCTAAGTCAGCCAAACAAATTCACTAGTCTGGCGGTTTTTCTTTTCAAAGCTTGTTTCTAATGACTCTGAATCATTCGAAGTCCTCAAGCAAAAAGAAAAGTAAAACAAATCCCAATTCAATTCCAGATAGGCTTTAAACCAAAGTAATATATTGAAAATTGTATAAAGTAACACACAGTAGGAACTTTGATACCAATTGAATAAAATAGTCCAATATATTTTTATACTATAGTTAGAAGAATAATTATCAACATTTTTTTTTAGATATTTATCATTTTCTTTAACAAAATTAGTTATATTTATGTTTAGCTATCAACAATAATTACATAAACTTAGATGCCTTTCAAACTATGTCAACTAAAGGAGTGGAAAATATTAAACGAAAGTAATAAAAGAATACATATCAATTAGAACAATTCTCTGTTATGTATCAATAAATAAAACAGTTACCTCTATAAAACTGTTACATGTTGGGGCAAAAACTAATTATAAAATTTGTAAGTACATTCATTAATTACACACAATACGTAACCGCAAAATAAACATTTCATATAATTCTTAAACATTGATAGCTTTTTTCAATATTACTAAGAAATTTAACAATACGAAGTGTATAAATAATAAAAATTAGAATTTTCTGCGTTTTCTTAATAATTGAACAAACAATTCAATCAATTTCACACTTTTGCTTATATTGCAATCAATTATAAACATTACTCAAGTACAGAATTCACTCTACTCATAAAATTAGCAGAACACTCAAAAATAAAAATTCTTTTTCATACTAATTCAAAATGTTCACCAGGAAGTTAAAAAGTAAAGATAGTATATACTGTATATAACTATGTAAACAAAAAGTAACATAGTCAATATCAGTACATATCTATGAAATATCTTATCTACATTTTCATTAAACATTTATCTCAAAAAAATTAGCAGAAGATTAAAAAATAAAAATTCCTTTTTCATATTAATTCAAAATGTTCACCAGGAAGTTAAAAAACAAAGATAGTATATACTGTATATAATTATTTAAACAAACAGTAACATAATCGATATCAGTACATATCTATGAAATATCTTATCTACATTTTCATTAAAAAACTATCTCATCTACAAAATGAAGATATCTTTCTTCCAGCTATACTGGTCAAGGACGATCATTAGTGATCATGCCCACTCGCTACTATTGTGACCAACAAACCATTTATTCATCAATGGTAGTTTTCAAATCAAAATCATTTTCAACCTCAATTACTTCATTTCCAGCGTTTCTCGCACAAATATTTCAAATATTCATAAAATCATATTTCTATATTTGATTAATTAAATTTAATAATCGCATATTTCTCTTTTCTATTAATTATAAAACATTAACGAAAATCGCACTATGAAAATTAAAATTCTTTTCATAAAAGTTTTCTAACTACAATAAAACACATAACGATGACTTCTTTTTTGGTGACTGATCAGTATTTTTTTCTTTCATTTCTTCAGCCTCCTTTCTTCTTTCTTCTTCAATTCTTTTCGCATTTTCCTTCTCCAACTCTTTTTGCTTATTTTCCTCTTCCAATTTTCTTTTACGAGCGGCCTCTTCATTATCTTCAGCTTTTTTACTACTTTCATTAGTCTCCGCTGCCTCCGAAATCATTCGACATCCTGATGCATTCAGGTCAATTTTTGAAATTAATTGATTAAATTCATCACCCTCCCACAACTTATCGTCTTTCTTTCTGTGAAATCCAATGTATAAAAGCTCCGTAAATGTCATCGACATTGGTCCTTCTGGTGGCCATTTCATGTCTTCTAATAATAAAGGAACAATTGGCTTACTCAATGCTCCTGATAATGAAACTTCTCTTCGACAATTCGCACTCAATGCATACTTTGGAGTAACACATGATATTATCACTTTTGCTCCTCTGATTCCCTTATCAATTTTATCAAAAAGAGAATCTCCTCCTCCCATCTGCATGATATCTAACCAACAGTAATAGCCCATTTCACTAAGCTTTTTATATAGACGTTTAATTTGTGGTTGTTTTCCCCATTGATAAGATATAAAGACATCTGGCGAAACTTCTTGTTCCGTGTTCTCTTCCGATTTCCCATTGCTTGATTCAATGGCCTTTTGTTCTCGTTTCGGAATGATGATTTCTTCTTCCGGTGGATTCATCCATCCTTTATAAGGAGAATCATTCGTAATGAGTTTCATATCTGGTACGACGAAGTATCGAACTTGCATGAGAAGTTCTTGAAATTTTGCTGGCAACCAAAATACAGAGTCGCCTTTTTCCATTCCACCAGACTTGAAGAACCTAATATACAAATATTCAGACATGATTGGTCCCATCGGACCTGCAGGAGGCCACGATAATTGTTCCATGAGTATTGGTATCATTGGTTTTCCAAGATTTGTTGACAAGTTAACTTCTCTACAGCAATTTGCGGATTTTGCATATTTCTCACTTACACAACTGATAATCACTTTGGCTGAACGAACACCATCATCGATTTTGGCGTATAATTTGTCACCTCCACCCATTTGGCCAATGTCCATCCATGCCTTGAATCCGGCCATCTCCAAGTGTTTACGCAGAAGTTTCACTTCTTGTTGATGTCCCCATTGATAGCTGAGAAACACTTCTGGTTTCTCAAACTCTTCATCTTCGTCATCTTGAACAACATCTTTCACATTTGCAAGTGCACTTTCCACAATTTCAGCAGCGTCTAATCTGTTCATTTCTTTCAGATTAGTTAAAATGGCGTTTGTAGCTTCTCTTGTTTTGTGAGTAGCAAACCATTCATCAAACATCGATAGACAAGGATCTGGTTGAGTAGCCCAATTTCGTATATCGTCGTTTGTATAATTGAGTTTCATAGCTAAGAGTCTCCAATCGTGATCGGTTTGATCATTCATTAATTCGGAAACATGACGAGTCCAAGCGGGAGCATGTGAAAGAGTCATATGACTGAGTTCTTCAACTCTTTCATCGAGTCCTTTGATTGTATATTCAATTTGATCAATGCGTTCCTTAGTTTCTTTGACATCTTGTTTAACATTGGCGACGTCTTCTTTAGTTTCTCTGACATCATTATCAAGATTTTCAATTTTATCTTCATTATTCGTAACTCTGGAATCTAAATTATCAATATCTTCTCTCTGTTCCTCCACGTCTATTGCGACAGTTTCTAATGACCTTCCTTCCAAAGTATCAAGAAGTGCAGTTACCGAGTCTTTTATTTGAACGTCGTCTTTCATTTTTGTGAGATGGCTTTTATAAACTAATACAGGTTCTTTGAACCTAAGAGCCATGTTTCGTAAGGCATATATTACCGTTGCACGGTTAATTCCACTTTCGCTTTGAAGTTTTTCCCAGAGAACTTTTGTAAAGTACTGTGCTTTTTCCAGAGAATTTGCTATTTCAGGTAAAATATTGCAGTATGACAAACCTGAACTGTCATTTTGCACTAATTCTGCAAATCGTTTGTCGTGCTTTTGGAACAGCTGATTCTGTTTTGTAGTCAGGGATTGAAAGATTAAATAGCATTGAGTCACTTTTGTCCCCTCCAGTTGATCAATGAGATAGTCAAAAGTATCCTGATTAAATACTTGAGGATTTTTTGAGGCAACCTGATTGAGCAAACTTAAAAAATTCATCTCAATCCCTAAATTTCCTCTTTTTGAAATTTCCAAAATTGTTGGTAGTTTTTCATGGATGTAATCGGTAAATTGGGGATACATAAGAATTACTTTTGCTATTATTAAAAAGAAATATACTGTTAACTTCCTATATAAATTTTCGATGGATTAAACTTTACTTAATAAAGTATTATCTTCTGTTTGGAGGAATTCATCGATTATTTCTTTTCCTGTATCATCACCAAGAATGTCTGCCGTGTCTGTTAATTCTTTTAATAGTTTATCGGCTTGTCCCTGATAAAAGAAATATTTTTACAGTAAATATTATAATTGAAGAAGTTATTCTGATCACCTGTAACAGATCATTATCTTCCTGTTTCCGTAGATTTTTGGCAGTTTGAACAATAGGTATTACTAGCTCGGTAATGTTGTTATTCTGTTTAATGCAAACTTAAAACATATTGAGTTTTATGTAATTGCTCTTACTGGAATATAAAAATATTTTGTAGCGACGAAAAGAAAGTAGCCGGCTAGTGTTAGAGATTCTTCATCTGAAATGTCTGAATCTCGAAGTCTTTCATCGTCCTCATCTATCGTCCATGGTAAAGTGTAACAGTAGTTGTAAAGATCTGCCATGTTATCTTTTAATTCCAATACTCTTTTATCATTTCTGCAAAAGACAATTAAATCAGGTAAAGAATTGCGAAAGAACATCTTATCCATCTTACGTATAGACATAGCTAAATTTTTGAAAGAAAAAATCCACTACTTCAACAAGAATGTCGAATTTCTTTACTATGTTTTGATCCTTTTCCAATATCGATTTAATTCTCACAAGTATATTATTAAACCTTGGTAATTCATCCTTTTTATATCCAACACAGAATATAGAAATTACTAATGGTAGTTTTAATATTATAATCATTTCTTACCTTCCAATCAACTGCTATAGAAAACCGCCATATCGCACTATGAATAGGATGTTTAGTATATTTGAACGCACTTTCAATGACATCGTAAACTAGACTGGTCATTTTCTTGAAAACTTTTTGTTTTCTGTTCAAGTTTTATTCGTGTTTTATATGTAAACAAAGTTCTTACAATAACTTACTCCATTATGTCATATAATGTATATCCTATACGTTTAAAAGCATCTAGTGTATCGGTATTATAAGGTATATCTGGATTGTCCATGGTACTGAACATTAAATTGAAGATTTCAGGATTCTTCTTTAAATTCACTAATTTTTTTTTGTCATTTGCACCTTCAAAGTATTCACAAGCAATTCTCCACAATGGATTCTTTATGATTACGACAAGTAACTCTTTTAATTTATCTACATTATCCCTGAAAGTGTACACCCATTACATTTCTTTACGCGTTTGATGTATAAGGGCAATACTGACTGAAACTTTGGAACCAAATGATTTAAAAATATTTCCTCTTTATGTTCAAATTGTCTATAGACATGTTCATCTTCTTTCATCATTTTTACTTCTTCAATGAAGATATCCAAATGGCTCTTCATTCCTACAGATTCAAACTAAAATGTTAAGAAAACTTTTTTAATGAACTCTTTGAATGTCTATTTTTTAACTCACGTCTATTTCCATATACTTTTTACACAAGGCTTTTGCTAAATCTGAAAGTGATCTGGGTGTTTCGTGATCATTACCAAAAAACAACACCTTTGAAGTAAAATCATAAGTAATAGCTGTCAGTTTGTTATTATCTCTATCAGAAAAAAAGAGGCACTAATAAAATCTGGAACAAATTTTATGTGCTTGATACTCACTTTATAGCTACTTGAAGACTTTCGACAATAATGTCTCTCCAAGCGTCAACTGCACATTCATTTCGAGGAAAATCCTCCATGAAGAAAATTGTATGGTAAGTACGCAGCAAATTTTCAACATCGTCGGTGGAACCTTCCTTCAATGAAATTATAATTTATATTATATAAATGGTAAGTGAATAATTTTGAATAGTTTTTACCTCAAATAAAGTAGAACCTCCCATATCTCTAACCATTGATGCAGCAAACGAAAGCATTTCATGACACACATAAATCATAAGATTATCACTCGAAGAACCTTTATACTGCTGACTTAATTCAAGCCAGAAATTGATATATATAATTATTTCTTTCCTTGACTGAAGAAGGCCTTCTTTTCTTGAATAGAAAAGTTTACAATACAAATTTAGATTCAGCCATCATTCAATCTAATTTTCAAGTGACTTACTTAAGATGATAAATAATTTCACTAGGCCAACGTTTTATTGTTTTTTTCCATTTGCTCTCATCAGTTTCTTGAGGTCGTGGCTCAAATTTTCTAGTTAAACTTTTAATGAATCTCTTTACGTGATTTTCGTTCATATTCTATTAAAATCATATATATATATATATATATATATACAGTATATATACTGTATAATAGAATATTCAATATTATTCTTAACGGAATAACGCTTTTACTGACTTTAGTAAAACGTATAACTCCGGGAACTTGGTAAAATATTTTGTCAAAGCAGGACTCATTCCCTGATGATATATAATTTCCTTCCATTGCAGTGAACATCAAATCAAAAAATTTTTCATAAACAAAGAAACATTCTTCATCTTCTCCACTTTTAAGAGCATAGTAGCTATTTAAGAAATATAAATTTACTATGGCTTAAGAGTAAACTTCTTTTACAAACCTGTATACTTGATTCGAAAAAATTTCAAAACTCTCTTTTATCGCCCTTTCACCGACTGTGTTAATTGCGGGACATTTATCATTGCAAAATTCAATTTTTAATGTATTAACATATTCTTCTATCTCTTTTAAGGACCATTTTGTTGTGATGTCATTTTCTTTTAGTAATCCTGAAAATTCTTCAAATTTTTCCTCGTTTAAAGAAACAACCGGTGAAAATTTTTTTATTACTCCAATCAATTGATTCATATTAAAAGAAATAAAGACAAAAGGTAGAATAAACTGTATTTATCACTGTTGAATGAACGAATATATAGTATTAGCTATATTTGTAGTTGTTCGTCGGTTGCCTAGCTAGACAAAGTTTACATAAACAATATTAGAAATCGATAATGAGTGAAGTTTGCTGTAGATATTTACATAAAATTCGTCTACTAATAATACTAACTTTATCAGGTTTTATCTCAAGATATCAAAAGAGGATGATAATTGCCTAACTAAATATAACAAGCATTTCAGAATACTTTTTTTCAACAGCTATTGAAGATTTTACATCAATAATATAAACAATTTTGAATACATTATAATATTCAATGGAATCCTTAAGTCACTTTCTATCAAAAGCCGTACCAGCACAAGAGTGGTACGAAATTTGAATTAATATTTAGGTCAAGCAAATCCTTACACAATTATTTAAATGGTAATAAAAATTTGCTGAGTCGTTAAAAAATATAAGAATTTTTCATTTTTTGACTGATCGTTTCTAATACACTAAAATATATAGTAAAAAATCTGAAAAAAATGGACACCGTAAATTTTTAATAGGCTAACTTTTAATTAACATTTAACATTGTTTGTTCGTTCTAAAGTAGTTTTTTTTGTCTAAATTTATCTAAAAGAAAGTTATGTTTACGTAATTTTGAAAAAATAGAGAAAATGATGATATTTGTGAATATCAGTAGGAAAATATTTTTAGTAGTTTTCGATAATTTGTTCTTTATTTTGTCGCGATGCAGAGTTATTGCAATAGTCAATTATTTGGCATTCAAATAGATGTTTTAAACAACATTTTTTCAACTTATTTGCCTTTTTAAGCTAAGTTTCTCACTTATTGTCAATTTTAATTATATTAGTTCATTCTTTATTTAATTATGAAGTGGAGTAAAGATGTTTGAGATATTGCAAACAAGAAATACAACGAACTAGGAAAATTACGAACAACAGCAAGAATGGCATCCATCTTCTTGATTGGCCCGCAAAGAGCTCCAACCTCAGTCCAATTGAGAACATGTGACACCTGTTCATAACTATTTTACTAAAAAAAATGATATAAAAACTTACCTAAATGCTATTTGAAAGGAATTCGGATATAAATCTAAGCTTAATCTAATATTTAACACGGAAAAAATAAAAAAAAATACATTTTTTCATAGTGAAAAAAATTTGTAATGTTTGGCCTATCAAAATTCAAGATGTTCCAGTTTTTATGCAGTTTACTTGATATATTAGTATTTATATAGAAAAAGTCAATTCATTTTTACAATGTTTTCTTGAAATTGTGCCAGATTTGCTTTGTAATGTAAAATAGCTTTCTAAAATTAAAATAAATAATAATACGAATATTCTGTATGTTGCATACACGTGTGAAGGTAATTCTGTTTATTTGCTTATAAAATTCTTTCAATATCTTCGATTTTATCGAGACTTTTTCAATTTCTTAAATATCTAGCATGAATAAGGAGCATTTTTCTTATCTAATTCTGAAAAGTTAACAACATTCGTTAATTTACAGTGTAGTAACCAAATTGGAAATATCGTACTATTGTGCCATCTGTCGAAGTTTTCTAATATTCCGCTTTATAGAAAGTGAAGTTTCACTAAACCCTTACATCTTCATTATTTTGTCCTTTCATACCGTAAATTTTTTATTTGTATTTAGTTATAGCTTCCTGATTTATTTTTGTGTTACCTTTAAAGTATAGAAACAGCATTAATTGAAATATTTAGCCGATTTTCTAGGTAGAATCTCACAGCACAATTTTCTATCAATTGAAGGGTTCATCTATGATATAATCACTAGCAATAAAGTATTGATTTATTATATTTTTAAACAGTATACAGTATTAGCATATCTCCGGCAAAGATAAAATGTAAATTTAATGATGATTAAAATAAAAACGGTATTCCTTGTAATTGCTAAAATATGTATTTTTTAAGGGCACAATATATTCAATTAAACAGATATATGGAATAGCATTGGAATTTTCTAATAAATAAGATTTTCATCGCAATGAATTTTACAAGATTTGTTAGTATAGGCGGGCGCTTTTTCATATTATGAGAAATGTTAATAGACAAGGAACTAGTATAAGCTTACTCATTTAATCAATGAGAAAAAAAACTGCTTATACATTGAACACCAGCTGTTTTAATAAAATATTTTAAGTCACAGCATCAGTCTAATGCAAGTTAAACATGATGCACGTATAAATTTGTAGAAATTTCTGTGAAATAAACTTTTCTTGTCAAAAGCATGATATGAAAAAATATTTCAATTTACTTCACACGGAATATCTCCTTCCATGTAAGGTATAGTCTATAATAGACATTACATCTTATCTTATTTAATCTACTATCAGTAATGCTTATTTAATATACTTAAAATTAAAAAGGAATGTAAGAGAAGCTCACTTTAATATAAAAATGCCTTTTAACACAGGGAAGGTAACATATTGATTTAATATACAATATCAAGATAAACTAATTAATTCATATCTTACTAGCAGAATGAAATACTAATTTAATGATTGTACAAAAATATGTTGAAAACAGTATAGAAGAAAAGTAAAGTGAACGTTTAAAATACTTTAACATTGTAAGTTTTTCAAAAGTAGAAAAGTAGAAATGCATTCGTTTTCTTCTTCTACTCTTCTCGACTTACTTCTTTTGTTAAATAGTTTAGTTTTACTTCTTCTCAACTAATTCTCCAATAATCTTGATATCTTTTTTAAATTAGTTGAATATCGTTCCTATATTTTCTAAATTTTTGGATACTCTTTTGTGATTATTTCTTTCTCATTTGTGTTTCTAAATCCCTCGGCGAAGGATGAATATATGAATAGACTTGTGAGAATCAAGATTGGCAGTTTTATTCCTTTTCCCTTTGCTTCATGCAAATATTCTATTAACTTTATCATTTATATGCACATCATTATTATAATACTTTGCCTCTTCAAACTAATTGTTATCTACTAAAAACCTTCTGTCTACTTTTTCACCGGCAATCGGTAAGTGTCAGTCAGCCAATTTCCCAGGACAAGAGTCTTCTATAATCTTTATTATTATAAGTTTTTTGCCTTGGCAATCGAAGTATGTTTAGTTTGTCTTCTTAACAACTGAAATATGGATATAGCACTTGCACTTGAAATAGGCTTAAAAAAAGTACAAATGAAAGTAATAACAATTCTCACACAATTATAGATATTTTACGTCTTTCTAAGTAAAATGTTCTTTTAAAGTTCTTAAAAAACCCATTTATACCACTTGAATTTGAAATTGGATTCCTCTTTTGGTAATTATATTCTCTTGAATTTCACTTCTATAGTTCGTTTACCTACCTAAAAGGCTTGGATTAAATACAAACCTGTCTCCTCCTAAAAAGTACTTGTTTTTAGACTTTTGAAGATGTGTACTTCAAACAATACAGAAAATTTCAACATTTTGCAGATAATTTTCTTGAAGGGCAAAGAATTCTCTTTATTGAAAAGTACTAAATGTTTAAAAGAAACAATTAGGTACATGCGGAAGATAAAGATTATCATTCTCGTATAACTATCATAAGAGCTCAATTATTGTTTAGAGACATCAATTTCATTTCCACAATATGTCCAATCAGTTTAATTTTACATAACAAAATATTTAAAATGTCTATTAATGCTTTAGATATGATTCATTACTTTGTAGTTTAAATTAGATGTGATGTACAAATATTACTTTTACAATCGTAAAATATAATAACAATAATATACGAGATTGATGTAGTCGACACTGAAATATTAGCTAACGAGTGAGGTAATAAAATGGCAGAGATCATTCTGTAAGGTTTGAGTTACAACCTTACTCATTACTAAACTCTAACAAAATCAACAGCAAGGAATTATCAAAGTCAAAAATAACTTTTTATTAGTTAGAACTAGGACAAATAGCACAATTAGTCAACAAAGAATTTGACAAACATGTGATATAGAATCAACAACGGTTACCTGAGACGTTTAGTTAAAGTGAAAATAGTAGTAGAAAAGAAAATATATATATATATATATAAAAAATCATAATAGACAATAATTGCTCATGAACACATACATATGTTAAATTTTACGTATACGTTAAAGCAGTCTATATATTTCTGAATGATATTAATAGAATAATAACGGAAAAAATATGTAAAATAATTAAATTCTTTTAGATATTGATTAACATTTTTAAATTCTCATGAAACTATAACAAATGCATTATATTCGTTATTTAATTGATTTAGAGGATAAACACTGACTGATGGAAATTATAAAATACATGTTAAATATTTCAAATAGCTGCTAACACTGAATATTAGATATCAATGTTCTGCTTATTAAAACGTAGTAAGAATATGAAAAAGAACTCTTCTAATAGCTAATGATAGCTATTGTGTTTATTAATTTTGACATCTTATTAATTTATTCGTGTATATAGCTAATAGAATAAAGATTAGGTTAGGTTTTGAATATTTGTAATAGTATATTCGTTAGACAAGCTCTAAAATATTTGATTCTATAATTAGAAAAAATATAGATATGTTGCAAAAAAAAAAACATTAAACAATTCATTTAACCATAAGCTATAAAGAGTGTGTACATCTCTTTATAGTTACTACACGTTTCGTTGCTCTTCATTTTTAAGAAATTCATCCAATAAACGTTTTAGAAAGTCGATAATTAAAAATACAACAGTGCCATCTATACTTGAAATCAATATTGTATGGAGAAATGATCGGATTTTCTACAGGTAATGTCTTGTCATCTGCCCAACAAAAATATTTTTAAAACGTTCATTTTTCTAATTATATAAGATGAATGGAAGAAAAATCGATGTAACTGTTTTCAAATATCGTAAAATTGTATTGAAAAAAAGAACACAGCGTCTATAGCATATAGCATATAGTAGAATTTCAAGTTGTTCTTATTTATGTTAAAATTGTGAGCATGTCTTTTTCAAGTTACGTTTGGTTGTTTATAAATTAATATTCACGTTCTCTTCGATCTTTATAGAAGTAAAAACAGACCAAAATTACAGAAAGAGGATACTAAAAAAGACGTGCTCATCGATACGGAACAGCTGCAATATAAATTCAATATAGGATTATTACAATACACAGAAAGGCCTTTCGTTTTATTGAAAAAATGTTCAAGACTTAATAAGTTTTATGATAAACTATGAATAGATTATCACAAACATTTGATCTGAGGTTGGAAGAAGGACCAAGAAGAGGAATACCCAAAGTTAAACCGATAACCGAAAGATCTATCTTAAAATCGTGCTTATACAACTTACCTATAGGGAGTCTACAATTTATCTTACCTGCCTTAATATTACTCATTATTGGAGCTGTTTTATTTATTATTTCTTCAGAAGACGAAGACACAAAAGTTGGATTAATTTATTTAATTATTGGTGGAATATTAACATTATTAAGCATGGGATGCTGCATGACGAGTTATTGTAAATATAGGATAAAAGAAAGAAAGAAAATTGAGTTGGAAGAGGCTGATGGAGATAAGTTTTATGGCAAATATAGAAGACATGCTAGTAAAGGGATAACGAATCCTGGTTTTGATAGTACAATTTGAATCGATTGTTTCAGCATTTGTACGTTTATTTTTCATTGTTAAACATTCCAGTTTATAACTATACATTGCACGTTTATCTCTGTACAATGTATATTATACTCGGTCTATAATCAATATTATGTTATTTTACAGGTGTTTTGTAGTGGCATCTGGTGTACGGTCTCTATTTTTCAATCCCTTTTTCTTTTAATTCTTACATAACATTATGCTCATGAAGAAATAAGCTTTCTATATCTCAAGATGGCGCTTTAATATTGATCTTACTATTTGCTATGCAAGTTTGATGCGCCACCTGGAGAAAAAATTGAGACTTAGCAATATATTGTGACAGTCATTATCAAAAAATGAAAAACTTTATGTTTATTCATATTTGTTTGACGGACGTAAACTTGATTATTACAAACTATATTTTCTTTACCTAATAATAAAATTATATACAAAAGTCACATGATACTTAGAATACGGGTTATTTATCTTGTATTTGCTTATAGTTTATTTATATCTAACAATATTGTATCTTTAATTTAAAGATAAAACTTTAGTGTGAACAAATATATATAAATGTATATATATACATATATATATATATATATATATGTAATTAAAGATTAATAATTATGTTTAATAAATATAGAACATTGATAAATGATCGTTTATTGGAATTAAATGGAAAAAAAGAGAAAACGTTCTATATTCAAAAGTTTTTTTGTTAGCACCTTTTTCTCTATTATACTTTTTTATCTTTATTAGATTTTTTTTCATTGAATTTCTAAACAAAAGAAAGTAGTTTCCTGTATTTTTTTCTCTTTATTTGACAGCGTTAAAATCAACTTTCTTTCATTGTTATTAAAATATTCAATTGTTATACTTTTAGAATTTTTACCATATAGACTTTTTAATAAATTTGGTCAAGTCTAATCTAAAATAAAAGAAATGTCTAGCTTCAATTGTCTATATATAAAATATTTCTTTGAAGTTCTAATTGACTATTGACATTACATATATAACAATATATTTATAGATAATTTGAACGGAAACGAAGAGATTTAAATTGATAGTTATTAAAAAATCGTCTTTCGTTCGCTCTCCTTACTGACAACAAAAATACAATACGAATAGTCGAAGTACTTCCGGTATGTCTTCTCAAAAAAATAACGCAATCTGTCAATAAGTAGTGAAATGAAAGGGAAACTTTTTTTAATTGCACTTTCAAATCATTAAGCTTGTAAGGAGTATTTAAAGGGAAACGATAGAAATAAGTTAATTCTAGCTGTATTAATTATTGCCATTATCAATATTTAAAATCTTTTATAGAATTAACTCTTAAAAACAATGATGGTCTATCGGTAGTCGAATGAATAAATCAATTATTCATATATCCGCGCATAAGATATACGAAATATACTTACCCTATCAACAGAAACTGGTTGAAATGACAAAAGGCCTGATTGAGTTACGAGGCCTATAATCCCGTTATCGATTAGAAGAGCAGTAATAACGACGCTTGAACAGTTTTTACCCTGCAATCGTCCGACCTAGTTTTGATCATTTATCAGTGTTACGTAATTAGAATTACGCGATAAGCGGGAAACTGAACTCTATACAAGGTAGTGTTCTATAACTAATAGTTTTTTTAATTATCGAAAGAATAATAAGAGAGATTTGTTGTACAAATAAAGTCTATTTATTAAGAACAGCAATGCGAAGTGCCTAAGATCAGAAAATGGCTGCAGAGACTATGAATAGGCGTATTTGGAATAATCAAGATATATCAACATCTCACAGAGACATTGTAGATGACAAATATAGAGAATTAAGAAGACCGAAAAAATTAAGATTCTTCGCAAATGGAGACCGATATTTTAAAGGGAGAAAACTGTATATTACCCCTCATAGATACGTAAATTTTCAAGATTTGCTCAATGATTTGACGGATAAATTAAGTTCCAATGTTACTTTGCCTTATGGGGTTCGTCAGATTTATACACCCATGAGGGGGAAAAGAGTCAGAGATATTGAAGAGCTTCAAGATGGTAGTTCTTATGTTTGTGCTGGTTTTGAAGGTTTTAAAACGCTAAATTACGGTGAAGGTCCTCCCGAACCTTGGAGTTTGTCTAGTAAGTAGTCTATTGTAACTTTATTCTAAAGTAGTTTGTTATTTTGACATTTTCTAACTATTCCCTATGTGCTTAACTCTAAATTTTAAGCATCAGTAATTCAATAACTAATATAGCCCTTTGAAATGCTTCTTTTGTCACAGTTCACAGACCAGAGATGGTATAAAAGTAGCTTTGTACCCTCTTTAATTTATAATTTATTATTCAGTAGCGTTTTAAAGTCCAAATTAGTATTATAATAATCGTATTTCATCAGGTAATTAAGACAATAAAACATTCATAAATGGTTCACAATTATTAAACTTCAGCTTATCTATTATCTATTGCTGCATATCGTTTTTTTTATCGCAAGCGTTTAAAAGGTCTGGTGTTGTCCATTTTAACAAATAGATAATCTCTTATTTTTTATTCCTGGCTACGAAACTCCTGAATAGAAAGTACCTTTTTTTGATGAGAAAATTACCCACTAATTGAGTAGGTAATTAATACGAATTTTGATTAAAGAAGTAGCATTTCCTGCTATCCTGAATAAGAAGCGGCAATATATCACCTAATGAAAACATGAACATTGATTTCTTCATTCAATGCTAAGTAATTATTTACACATTCCTAAAAATAGAAACCGAAATTTCTCTCTTTTCTTGAAAATGCTATTAAAGAAGCTATAAAAAATCCAATAGATTAATCTAAACTGCGATCTTTGGAATATCTAACAGAAAAAAATTGCAAACAATTTATTGTTTCCAGTTTAAGAACAGAAGGCAGACTTTAAAAAAATAATAGAAAATATAATAATATTACTTTGCAACTTCTATACTGAAAGTTTCAAGTAGACAATGAATTTCTAATAGTTTTCATTCAACAACAAAACTGGATTAAATAAAGATTAGAAAGATTAAAAGACTTTAATTTGATGGTTGAGTGATTTTAAAATCTAAATATAGATATAGTATATCCATTACTTTTTATTAGCTTTTATTTTAGTCTTTAATTAGTAATTTAAGGGAAATTATCAGTAGCCTGTTAAGGTATACAATACTAATTATAAGGCCTTTTATAACCTTAAAGGTAAATTCTTTACCATTTCTTTAAAAGAAAAGGTTTGTTACACCAATACAAAGATAGATCTCTTCCGATATCTTATTTTATTATATCAAATAAAGACAGATTCAAACATTAAATTTATTAAACTAAAGTGGAAAAACTTTTCATTCATAAAAGTGATTTAACAAAATTATAGATTAGAATCAGGAAAGTCATTGTATTGTTGATGGAGATATATCAGTTAATGAATTTTAGGCTAATCAATAGTTTACCTATCCTTCTGACTTTCGTTTATTAAAAACTAACCGGTAGTTTGCACAAATCATAAAGAAAATGTCAGTATTAAATAGAAAAGGAAATAGTAAAAGAACATTAACATATAAAGAAAGTCTCGAAATCAAAGTCATAAACTTTAGATCAATAATTTCCCATTGAGAATAAAATTGACCCTTTCACTTAGGCTGCTAAGCATTTCGTAAAAAAATGCTTTTGAATTAAATGCGACTATCTAAATAATAATATTTTATTTATTAATTGCTTTATTTATGTCCTCCCACATTGCCCTTACGAAACGGAAGTGATAGGGCAGGTCGTTAATTTCAATTTAATGACATCTATTGATTTTTAACGTCTATCGATCCTAGAATGTCACTGATATTTATTTGAGAGGTTTTAATTGAATATTTGAAAGTTTTAATTTTTAAGAAAAACTGAAGATTTTTTATAAGAGAATAGTTGTCAAGCTTTTAATTTAATGAATGGTCAACATTGCCAACCCAAACTGCTAAGAAACTTGTAACCAAGACGGTGGAATGCAGTAAATATCGAGCGATTACCGCCATTAAACAAATACAATTTCCATACGCATTCAATCCTTATAGATCAGAGAAACGTTAGCTTTCGTTCAAAACCAGATCGTTTCAAAATGGCTGCTGTAGCAAGTACGAGTAATGTTGATAGCTTAGCTAAAAAATTTGGTTTCAAACATAAGCCAAAAGTTAAAGTGATAGATATAGGACCTGATCCTCCGTTACTGTATCGGAAGTACATTTGGGGACGAGATTGTCTGTTCATTTATCAAAGAAAATAAAAAGCATTTTTGATGTATTGATAAATTTCATTTCAGGTAAAGTACACCAACACGACTTTTATCGACCTCTCCTGGATGGTTTTCATCCTTCAAGACTCCGCCAATCATATCCTCCAAAAAGATACCTACCTCCCGGAACATTTGGCAGTAGAGCTGGACCTGGTAGCTACTGGGCATCAACTTCGAGGAATGAAGTTCCCAACTACAGACCGAAAGTAATTACTGTTGTTAGAAATGGACAACGTCCAAGAACGAATGTAAAAATTTTACTGAACAGAAGAGGAATTAAATCATTTGAGGAGTTAGTCACAGATATTTCGGAAGCATTCGGTCCTAAATATAAAAACAACAAAGTAAAGAGTTTATATACCCTAAAAGGAAGGGAAGTAAAAGGTGTTGGTGATGTTTTTCGGGACGATGATGTTTTCGTCGGGGTTGGAAACGAGAGTATCACAGGAACTGATGTCCAGGATATTTTGGAAGAATTATACCCCGACTCTCCTTATGCCAAAAATTTAGCCAAACTCTGGGAAAAGAACAGGAAAAAAGGTAGAAAATTCGAAGAGGGTAAGCAGGATGATAGTGGCATTGGTAGTGAAGGATCTGAAGATCCCGAGAGAATGCTTAAGAAAGCAAGGAAAAAGAATCTCGAAGCTCAAAGACTAAGGTAAATGTTTCACATAGATAAACCTCTCATCTAGGACTATTTTTATAATATTTTACCTTAGGCTTAATGTCAATTATTCTTTTCATTTAAGGTATGCTGATGAAGAACGGGAAAGAGCCAGAAGGGCTAAACATAGAAGACAAGAGCTAGAAAGAAGAGCACTGGAAGATGAAAGAAAATTAAGAGGCTTACAACCCTATGAGGATAAAGAGGGAGGACGATGGTCTCCCAGAAAGCCAAGAGACGAAGAATCCAAAATAATTGTAGTGCAAAAGGGTGATGAAGGAAATAATAAGAAGAAATTAACTCCAAGAAATAAAGGAGCTGACAAAGAGCCATATGATAACGAAAAATTACTAAAAGAAAAGAATGATAAGCATGATAGGAGGGATAAACAGCCAAAAGGTTCTAAAGCTGATGAAGACAAAAGCAAACTCGCAGGAGTCAAATTATTAGCTGTGGGTCAAGGAAAAGAAAATAATAAAGATACGGACACAGAGAAAGATAATGATAAAGGCAAAGAAAGTCAGCAAGATTTAGATAAAGACGATGGAGCAAAGAAAAGAGGAAAAGACAAACCTACAGGTTTTAGAATTTTAGAAATTGAACAAGGTAACGAAGAGGATACAGAAAAAGAGAAAAAAGATAAGGAAAAGGATGAAAAAGCAAAAGAAAAAGATAAAAAAATAACAGATAAGGAAAAGGACGAAAAGTCGAAGGAAAAAGATGAAAAACTAAAGGAAAAGAAAAAGGAAAAGGATCCTGTTAAAGAGAAATTAAAAGAAAAAACAAAAGAAAAAACAAAAGAAAAGACCGAAAATGACAAACCAAAAAAGACAAGTACAAAAATGGACAATAAAGAAAATAAAGATATTCCGGAAGAAACTGAAAAGAAGAGTAAATCTAAAGTTGAAAAAAAAGTAAAAGATAAGTCCGAAATAGAAAACAATGAGAAAGTACCAAAAAAAACCGATAGACCTCGATCAGTATTGCAAGAACCCGATGCTATTAGAACACCTTTAAAGGAAAAACCAAAACGTAAAAAGAGTAAACAGATTGTTTACAAAACTAAATTGGAACGACAAATTACTAGTCCGCAAACTGTTTTTGATAAATATGAAATAACTAGCAAAAAACCATTAGGAGATGGAAATTTTGCTATAGTTAAACCCTGCAGATTAAGAAAACCTCCTAATACTGATTATGCCATGAAAGTTATCGATAAAGCCAAATTGAAAGGAAAGGAGCAAATGATTGAAAATGAAATTGAAATCATGAAAGACTGCAATCATCCGAATATCTGCAAATTGATTGAAGAGTATGAAACCGGAGATGAAATATATCTAATAATGGAATTAGTAAAGGTAAATAGCAATATCATTAAAGAAATATATTCCACGTTTGAAAAGAGCGCCCTCTTTAAAAAAACAAGTCTAATATTAGTAAATTACGCTTTAATTATAAAACTACGTTGTATAAATATATACAATACGGCAGGAATAATTGAATATATCTCTATTTTCTTATCATTAACCTATTAAATTTAATATATTATTAGGGTGGAGATTTATTCGACGCTATAACTCAAAGTGTAAAATTCGGGGAACAAGAATCTTCAAGTATGGTAAACGACTTAGCAAATGCCCTCTTTTATCTACATTCAAGAAATATCGTCCATAGAGACTTGAAACCTGAAAATCTTCTGGTAACTAACAAAAACAACTATTAATAATTATTATCTAACAATTGATTCTATTAATAACACAGGTTCATAGAAATACTGATGGTACAATATCTTTGAAATTAGCTGATTTTGGTTTAGCAATGGAGGTAACGAAACCATTGTTTACCGTTTGCGGAACTCCTACTTACGTTGCTCCGGAAATTCTCCTAGAAAGCGGTAAGTCAATAAGCTATCTTTTTGTATTATATCTATTATTATTTCCCATAATTTATTCTCCCTATAGGCTATGGTCTAGAAATAGACAATTGGGCTGTTGGTGTAATAAGTTACATTTTACTTTGCGGGTTTCCTCCATTCCGATCGCCTGATAGGAATCAGACTGAGTTGTTTGAATTCATTAAAGCCGGAGAATTTGAATTTCTAAGGCCTTATTGGGATGGAATCTCAAAACGTAAATAGCCCTTTTAAATATCTTCTCGCTGTAAACATACTAAAAAACCTCTTTTGTCACAATTTAATGACTTCTTTACATTTATACTTTGCGCTCATAATGGAATATTTCTTTCTCTCCAGTTGCTAAAGACTTAATCGAGAAACTGCTCGTAGTAAATGTAAAGAAAAGGTACACAGCCATCGACATTTTATGTCATCCGTGGATAATTACTAGGGCAGGATCAATTCCTGGTCCTGATAATATGAAAGAATATCAAAAGAAATTAAGGCAAGACCTTTTAAAAGAAGCTGAACAGAATTTAGAAAGCTACAATAACGAAAAACGTGGCAGAGAAACTTAACGGAGGAAGTTTACATATATCCTATTCTTCCCTCCCTATAAAAAATTGTGTTTTTTTTTAATATTGGAATACTCAAAACAGAAAAAAAGCTCATTCTGCAGACTTATTTGCTTTATGACTGTATTACACAAGTTTTTCATAAGAAAAAGAAATATTTTTTAATTGTCATCTTTTTTTTTCCTGTTGTAAAATTTACCTTTGTATTTTTCTTTTTGTTTTTTTTTTGTTGCATTTACCTACACGAAAATTTTAAACGAAACAAAAACAAAATCAGCTAATTTCTACCTATCTGAGAACAAGAAACAAGAGGAGAAAAGATAATATTTTTAGTTAAAAAAATTAATGTAATATAATTAAAAATTATGTGCCAAAGGAAGATAAATTATTTCTTTTCATATCTTTTAAGGGAAAATATCTATTCATTTATCTTTTTTATTTTTTATAATTTTTGTGCCTAAGAAAGACAAATGAGAGAGAGAGAGAGAGAGAGAGAGAGAGAGAGAGGTTAGGGGAAGGGAGGGGAGAAAGATAGACAAGGAAAGGGATAAAGATAACTAACAGAGAGAGAGAGAGAGAGATTGATAAAGAAAGTCTGTTGGTTCAAAAACTATTTATATTTAGAGTTAGCTGATTGAATAGCGTTTTTAAAAAAAATTCTGCTCGCTGTGACTGTGATACTCCAATTCAGTATTTTTCTTTTATTCTTATAAAATATTAACTTGAAAGTATGGAGAAATTAATAAATAATTATTATTATTAAAACCAGTCGATTATCATCTAAACAATAACAAAGCTTTTCTTTAAAAAAATATAAGAATTACTTCTTATATATCCATAAATGTATGTATCATCTGGTATAAAAACTACTTTGATATGCTTTATATACTTTTATATCAACGGTTTATAATTGTTTTTAAAGCTGTAAAAGTAGATTAAGACAAATATTAAGTTTAAACGTTTTGTTGATTAACATACTATTATATTTATTTGAATCAAATAGACTTGATACTTTTTTATACAATCTATTCAATTATACCATAGATGGCGTTTGTGATTATTCAAAAAAAAACAGGTTATACAACTTGACACTAGGAAATAATTGGTGTGAATATGCTTTTCAATATGGTTTTGAACGAAACCAGTTTTAGATGGCCTGCTAAACAGTCCAGAGCATAGCTCTTTTAAATCTTTTCCAAAACAGATATGACTTGCAGTTAGTTTTTGGTTTAATAGGTAAAATAAGTAATTAATCACCTTTAATTTTGTTTTTAAAATAAAGGAAACAGCTCAAACTAGTATTAATTTTACTATATTTTTATTAGTAAAGCTGTTCAATGATATACGCAAATGAATAGAGTTGAACCATATGCTGCGTATTTGTTTTGTTTTAATAAATTTCTTTATTTAATTTGAGTTATAAATTACATTTCATTCTTTGCAGTTTTTAACCAAACGTTAGAATTTTTTGTCACATTTCACGAATGGAATTTCATTTTATTCTACCTGTCTTATTATTGGTCACGTGTTGCTCAGTGAAATCAGTAATATCTGAGGAAGATGAAATATTAAAAACCTTTTATAATCTTCTAAATGAAAGACATGCTGATAAAGTAGAGTTAAATACTCCACGTTTAAGGGAAATTTTGAAAAAAATATTTCAAAATAAAGAGAAAAAACCATCTGGTAAGAAGTTATTGTTTAAATATATTACCCTGTATTATTTATGATATTACAGATTTATACGAAATTGAACTTGAGGCAAAAAAATGGATTGAAGAATATGGCCATCGACGTGATAAAATTGCATATTATTCAAGTCTTTTGAGCTTTAATTATCTTTCAAATATCACCGATTCTAATATGAAGGCCATGAATGAATTTTCAGCTGAAATACAAAGGAAGGAAAGACCTTTAGAGGAACATGCTAAATATCTTTTAGATAATTTAAAAAATAGCAAAAATGAGACTCTTTTAAAAATATTAAAAGGTATTTCAATTAGTACTGCAAGCAAAAACGAATCAAAGAACAGGTTGGTTAAATATAATTATCCTTTTTAAAAGAAAATAAAAACTGTTTTATAATCTACAGGGAACTATTAAAATTAAAATCTAAATGCGAAGCCGATTATGGGGAGGGAACAGTAGAACTAGATGGAATAAAATATCCTTTAGAACCAAATATTACTACTATGTTAGCCAAATCTAGAAATCCAAAAGTACTAGAAAAAATATGGATTGAATGGAGAAATTCTGTTGGTAGGAAAATTCGAAAAATATATCCAAAAATCATTGAGATTGAAAGAGAAATTGATGCGGAAAATGGTTTGTATATTTTTAATTGAAATAATTAAATTCTACAATACTTGCCATAAATTCAACTATTTTTAGCGATAAAAAGAAACACTTTAATTAAATTTATTATATTGTATTACAAATAAATAATAATTTACCTTGTTTCATTTTAGGGCAAAAAGATCCCATAAAATTTAGATTGAAAGAGTCTTACGGAGATGATAAAGTTGAAAAGGAAGCTTCAGATTTATACGATGATCTAAAACCTTTATATGAAAAATTACATGCCTACGTTAGATATAAACTACATAAATTTTATGGAAATTATCAAAAACCATATGGATATATGAAAGCCAATTTACTCGGAAACATGTGGGCTCAACAATGGCCCGAAATACTCGATATTGTTGCACCATATCCAGATTTACTGGATTCTATGAATTTTTCAAATTCACTATCAGAAAAAAATTTTACAGTTGTTGATATGTTTAAAACTGCAGAAAAATTCTTTAAATCTATTACTTTATTTCCTATGGTAGAGAAATTTTGGAAAAATAGTATGTTCACTAAGGTTAGAAAAAACGATTAAGGTTTTTAAAGAAATTTAATGAATCCTTTTTTCTTTTTAACAAAATATCTATATAGCCTACTGATGGAAGGCAGGTTGTTTGTCATCCGGCAGCCTTTGATTTAGGATATAAGAACGACTATAGGTAGAATAGTAATCAGACTATTTTTTCTGTTTTGTTTACCTTTAAAATATTTTTTATTTGTCTACTTTTAGAATTAAAATGTGTGCTGTTGTGGCTCAGACTGACTTTCTAACTATACATCACGAAATGGGACATATTGAGTATTACATGTCTTACAGAAATCAGTCTTATTTTTATAGAAACGGAGCGAATCCTGCATTTCACGAAGCGGTACGTTGAGTTACATAATATCTTTTTTGATCAAGTTATTTATTTACTTGTCATTTTGTTATCTTTAGATTGGAGATACTATTGCTTTGTCAGCTGGCAATCCAACACATTTAAAAACTATCGGTCTATTCAAAGAATTAAAAAATCCTTTGGATAGAGAAAGTAATTAAATTCTTGTTCGTTAATTAAATAACTAATAATTACGTTTTGACTAAACTTACAGAGAGAAATATTAACTATTTACTACAAAAAGCATTAGAAAAACTGACAGTTGTTCCATGGTCCCTGGTCATATGCAAGTGGACCTGGGCAGTTCGAAGAGGAGAAATAAAACCAAAAGATTATAATAAATTTTGGTGGTATTTAAGGTAAGCGAATATAATAATCCTCTTGTATCAAAGTAATGTTTCTATATTTTTATGTATTATTTGAATAGAAAAAAATATCAAGGTATAAAACCACCAGTTAAAAGAGATGATGATATAGATATGGATGCTGCTTCCAAGTACCATGTTGCATCTTTTACACCTTACTTGAGGTAAAAACTCTTGATAGTATTCCTTTTCAACCAATAAAGCGATTTTCTTTTTTTCAGGTATCTCTTTTCATTTGTAGCTCAATTTCAGTTTCACGAAGCGTTATGCAAAGAAAAAAAGCATGAAGGTCCTGTCTACCTATGCGACATTTATAAATCGACCAAAGCTGGAAATAAATTGAAGTGAGTTTGGAGATTTTCAATAGTTTGGCTAATTATACAACTCTTATTAAAATTTCATATAGGTCAATGTTAGAGTTAGGTTCTAAGAGACCATGGCGTGAGGTACTTGAGGAATTTACCGGAACGAATAAATTTGACTCGAAAGCCCTGCGAAATTTTTTTGAGCCTCTAGAGAAATGGTTAGACGTGTATATTGAAACGAAAAACATACCACTGGGATGGTAATTATTCAAAAATTAAAAGTTTTGAAGAGGCAAGCTGACAAATACACTTAATCTTACAAACAATGAAATATGTTAATAATTTTCATATTAGTGTTACATCCCTTTTTTGTTTGTTTGTCTCTTTGTTTTTCTTCTCTCTTTACTATCAATGCGCTCAAAGATTATTATATGAAAAAAGTCTTATAAATACACCGATTTTTCGGTCCATAAATTCTTTTGACAAGTTTCAACTGTGAAGAAAGTATTTATCTTATGGTTTGGAAATTCTAGCCAAAATTAACATGTTTATTTGACATCTAACAACGTATATCTCCTTTGGCATATTTTTTACAGTTAATAAGACAATTTTGCAACTAAAGCAGTTCCTTTTAGCTTTATAAAGGGGTATCCGATTTGATAAGAATAATATAAAGACTAGTGTGTATTTTTACTGTGGAATTTTTTTTAAGAATTTATATTTTTAGATATTTTTATAATAATAAATTTCCTCTTTTTTTCTATAGTATTTCTATTAGACATATTTACTAAGTTACTACGTTATTCTTTGAAATAAACTCAATTTTAGCTATAAAATTGCAATTTATATAAAGATAATAGGATATAAAACATTTATAATTACAAGACGAATAATAACAATTAATCAAAAATATTTTACAAGTAAAACTAAAGCCTCATTTTCAATTCTTAATATATGCAAAACATAAATAACTAGTGTCGCCAACACTCGTTCAGACTCTTTGCGATCAACAAACAACTACAAGGTTTATAATAGATAAAAGGTAGGCAAGATTTATTACATCTTCTTTACAGTTGATGTAACAATGTAGGTTATTTTTTTAAATAGATATTGAAAATGTTTACAAAAACTCTGAAAGTTTTATTCGCCATTTGCTTAATTGCCCCTATTTTGGCAAAGCTGGATAGAGATCACAACTGCATCGATTTGTGCAAGTAAGATGTTAAAAATAAATGATTATTATAATTAAAATATTATGTATAAAACTTAATAGGAATCATTCAAAATCTGCACACTGCCAAGCAATTTGTAAATTGATTGTTCATAAACGAAGCGACTCAAGAGATTCCTTGGGAGATTGGAGGTAAATATTTCTTTATTTTTCAAATTAAAACATTTACAAAAATATCGTTAAAATTATAAAAAGTAATCTATCTATTTTTTCTTTTTTCTCTATTCAAGCTTTGATGATTATCTCTTTCTGAGGTACCTTGGAAGAGATATTTGAAAATGATAGTTTACTCAATGATTATGACAAAAAAATAGAATCATGATAAATAATTAACTATAATGTACATATGATTTCTAGATACTGAATAAAATAAATTGATTGCATATTTACAAAGATATTTTGATTTCTAGTAAGAAACACTCTATAAGTTGCGTAATCAATTAAGGAATAAACTATTTCAAATGAAAAAATATTGTAATCATCTATGATTTTTCTTTTGTCACTTATACACGGACACACCATTCTTTTTCTAAAGTCTCTTGTCTCCTTTTCTCCTCTTCAGTAACTTTTAAAAGCAAATCATCAGTACATAAATTTCTTATGATAGATGGCGTTGCTGGAGTATCAATAACAAATTGTTGCGTATTTTTATCATCGAAACGAGATGACGCTACAGCTTTTCTGGCAGCACAAACTGCAGATGCTGCCAAAGATATAGCTGGCTCTCCAACACCCTGATTGGTTGGAATTATAGAGTAATTGTAAAAATGCTTAATGAATAAGTAAGTTACCTTTGATGAGTGAATAGCTTTTTTCTCACCATCGTCTCCTCCCCTAAGCAATGTAACATTAAATTTTCTCGGTATATTGCTCACAGACGGTAATTTATATTTTCCAGGACCATTTGTAATTAGTTGCCCGCTGGAAGGATTATAAAGTTGTTCCTCAAGAAGAACTAAACCTAATCCTAGAATAAAATAAAGAAAAGCTTGAAAACATCTTTAATAAGGAACAAAATAGCAATTAACAATATTTTTTTTTAATTTAAATGAAACTATGATAACATTTGAAATTTTACCCTGTACAAAAGCTCCTTCTATTTGACCAATGTCAACAGCCGGATTCATAGACTTCCCAATGTCCATAACAATGTCTGATTCTAAAACAACAACATCCCCCGTTAAACTGTCAATCTCAACTTCAGTTGTTGATGTACCCCAAACGACATATAAACCATCGTCACCGCTCTTATTTTTATCTTGATTTTGAAAAATTTCACTGAAAATAATTGAAATAAGTATTTAACTTTCCGTATCAACCGAGAAAGAAATATATAGTATACAATTTATGATGTCCACTGGCAGAGAGGTTAATTTGTTGGATATAGGCTTTTTCCACCTATTATAGAGAAGGAAACAATGTTTTCATAAGTTAATTTGTATATTAAACTTTTAAATTCTATTCTCCGCTTACTATTTCTTCCCAGGATGCATTTGGAAACTTTTCTCTAACGCCGTTAAGTCTTCTGTTAAGTTTTTGGCATGCATCCAATACCGCAAACCCATTGACATCTGTTCCACAACTTGCTGCTGTTATTGTGGAGTTGGGTGTACAATAAGACGACGTGTCAGGAATATAAATTCTATCATATTCAACATTTAAGGCAGAAGATGCAACTTGTTGCATTTTGGCATTTAGACCTTGTCCCATTTCAACCCCACTGAAAGACAAATAGATCGATCCGTCTCTATAAATATTCACCAGTGCATTTCCTTGCATCAAGCATCCTTTATTGAAACCAATGTAGTGTTCAACTACTGTTGAAGCAATTCCACGTTTTTTCCATCTATTTTCTTTGTTAAATTGTATAATTGAACTCTTTCTCTCTTCAACTTTGTATAGTTTCATCATTTCTCTCCAACATTTTCCGAGCGAATCATTTTGCATACTTGTTAGACTTGCATGCCCACATAGTTTTGTTGGTTCACCATCTTTCAGCATATTTATTTCACGAATATGGTCTGATCCAAGTTGCAATTTATGCGCGATGTTTTCTATAATACTCTCAGTGATTATTGCAGCCTGAGGTGTACCAAATCCCCTAAATGCAGTATTGCTAACTATATTCGTTTTGCAAAATTTTACGTTAACAGACATATGAGGAATTCTATAACCTCCCCCTACAGACTTAACACATTTAATTCCTACATCATAGCCACATTCCATGGAGTAACCTGAATTCATATATATTGTCACCTCTAAGGCTTTAATTGTTCCGGATTTACTAAAGGCAACTTTGTACTTTGCCTTCATCGGATTTCTGCCTCCGGTCACTTGCATATCGATTTGTCTGTTCATTATATATCGCGTAGGTCTTTTGAATTTTTCTGCAACTAAGCTAGCTGGTATTGAGGTGGTAATAGCTTGATTTTCTTTACCACCAAATCCACCACCACATCTTTTACAAATAACGTTAATTAAATGCTGAGGTTTATCTAGTATAGAGGCTATATATCTATGGTCACCGCCAACATTTTGTGTACTACTGTAAACATCTAAAGCATCTCCGTCTCTTGGAACAGCTAAAGCTGATTGAGTTTCCATATAGAAATGTTCTTGTTTACCTACATTTACTTCTCCAACAAGTACTTCATCCGACCTCTACAATAGAATTTTCAAGTTGAAGAATTTTATACTGAAAGTATAGATTTATTTAAGTATTTAACCTTAAATTCTTCTTCAACGTCCCCTAATTCAATGGATGGATAAGCTTTTGATTTGTGAAAAGAATTTGCCGCTATAGCATCATCAACAGTCAAAAGAGGTGTTTCAACTCTGTTGTATTCAATTTCCATAAGAATACCCGCTTTTTCAGCCATTGCCAAGTCAGTTGCAATGACAAAATAAATTGGTTGACCAGCATAGATAGTTTCATCTGTCGCAATCAGAGCAATAATTGAGGATACATAATAGCTTACACTCTTCCATTTCCAACAATCATAAAATACTTTCCAATCCCAAATATCAATAACACCTTCCATCCTTAAAATTTCTTCCCGATTTTTTAGATTAAATTTTGCACAGGCAATTGGACAAATTATAGGATAAATAATCAATTCATTCTCGAACTTTGGCATGTCGCATATAAAATCAGATTCTCCTGTTGTATGCTTTAAAGCTGCAGGAATGGACAAAGATTTACCTATTGTATTCTCTCCAGGGATGGCATCGAATAATTGAATTCCTGATATTGTCTGAACTGAATTTTCGTGTTTAAAACCATCAAGTTTCTGACAAACATCCAGATAGAATTTGAAATATAAACTTAATAATAAATTATTTCTGTAAGTTTCTTCACCACCTGGACTACCTTTTGTAATAAATAATTCTTTTATTAAATTACATGTAGCCGTTTCTGACATTTTCTTGTTCCATTTTAAGCCAATCAACTTTTCAGACGTTTGCGTAGCTTCTACAACTCTAAAAGAAATGCCTCCGTAAACAATTCTAATATCCTCAATAGTTTGATCATTTGTTAATTTAACGTAAAAACAAGCATTTATTATGGAGATATCGTCATATTTTCTTTTGGCTTGTTTATAAAATCTTATGTATTCATTCTTCTCTAAGGTCATCGGTATGATAAACTTTGAAATAATTTCAATATCTTCAATGACATTCTTTCTATAGCCGGTGAAAAAATCTTCGTTTATATAAACCTTTCTCTCTGCAAATTTTGATTTTAGAATAACGGAAGATTTAGTTGCAACTAGAATTGGTATTAGATCAGATATTGGGCTAGACGTATAGACGTTTCCAGAAACTGTTGCAACATTTCTAATTTGGTTACTACCAAAGTATTTTAAGCATTCCTCAATTGCTTCAAATGTATTAAAATCTCTATCATGATTTTTAACATAATCTTCGAGATCAGTTAGGGTTGTCGAGCAGCCAACAATCATACAATTGCCATCCTGTTCTATTGTATTATCTAAATAATGTGGTACGTGAATTAAGATTGCAGATTTTTCTTCCTTTTTAGTTAGTTTTTCAACAGATAATTCAGTGCTTCCTGCAATTAAGGGAGCTTCTGGATGATTAAACTTTAAGGTTGTCAAATGTTGAATAGATTCAGCTCTAATCCAGCATTTTCCCTTTTTCTCGTGCTGGAATTCTTCATCTATTTTCTAATAAAAGATTCAGATTATTTTTATACAGTATTAGCTAAAGAGACAATATAATTGCAAGAATAAATTACAAGTGACTTCAGTGGGATGGTTTCTCCATTACATGTTTTGTAGTTTTTCCAGTCTGAGGCGTCAAAAGACTTTTTACAGTATAAATTACTTCCATCCCCAAGGCTTAATTCTTCAATATCAACTGTCTGAAAACAGTATATATCTTATAATACTGTCTTAAACTACATAAGAAATTTATCATACTTGCTTCAATAAAATACATAAAAAATGAAATCATATTAAGGACTTATTTAAATATTTTTCCCTTTTTTCTGTGATTTTATTGAATGAGAGATAAATAATTTTTTTACAAAGTCCTTACTTTATTATTTTTGCAGAAAGTGTAACAGCCACTTAAAATTGATCTGTACCCAGTACAACGGCAAATATTACCGTGAAAAGCTTCCTCAACTTGCTTTTTTTCTGGTTGTGGAACGTTTTTCAATAGAGTGTACATGCTCATAACAAATCCAGGAGTGCAATAACCACATTGTACTCCATGGGCTTTAGCAATTCTTTCTTGAACAGGATGAACTCCGCCCTTCAAATTACCAATTCCCTCAACTGTTGTCACAGCTAAACCATGAAGTGATAGTATAGGTGTTATACACGAGTTGATAGAGTAATGCCTTAAAATAAGACAAATGTAAGCACATATTTTTCAATATTATTCATAAAAATAGGAAAAATAGGGCAAATGTCATACTTTATCTCGTTTTTCGATTTCGCAAGGGCTGAAACCATAACAGTACAAGCCCCGCAACCACCTTCACCACATGCTAATTTACTTCCTGTCAACCTCACTAATATAAAAAAACTTTGTAGCCTACACAATACTTTAAATTATATTAAAATATTACATAACGATATATACAATTATACAGTATACTATATATTCTAATCAGATTAATGTATCATTTTATAGTATTTCGACATTTAGACAGATAGTTATTGCAAAATTACATAAACTTCAGAGAATATACTGTATAGTATTCAGAAATTCTATTTTGCTTACAGTTATCTCTTAGATAGCTTAGAACTGTTTGCTCTGGGTCGACCGATGGATCTTTTATCTGCAAGATAAGTAATTTGAAATTATTTAAAACTCTCTGAATAAGTTAAATAAAGCCTTTTAACTCTCAGACCATGGCAACTGGTATATTTTTTTAATATATTTAATTACTTATTACACAATATACAATATATACAAATAGTGTTTCTATCAATGTAGACCTACATTTAATATTTATATCTTGTTATACATTTAGACAAAATAATAAACTAATATGGAAAAAATATACCAATTTTTCGTTTATTATTAGTGTCAAAGGTTTTCTTTTTGAGTTCATTTTCTCTCTTCCAGCCAATAATTTAGGAATACGAGAATTATCTGTAATAAATAGTAACAAATAATACTTAGATAGTTCAGAACTAGTATCTATAAAAGTTCAAGTGTAAACAAGTTAAAGCTCTAAAATTATTAATTCTCTTTTTATAATGCACGATCCATTTAAATCTTATCATTGGTCATGAGGTTAAATCCTGAAATTTTTTGCTTTATATGCATAGATACTTTTTCTAAGGCTGCTAACTAAAAGGTTAAAACAAGTTTAATGATATACTTCGATTTGAAATCAAGATATGATTGTATGCCTTTACCATGACTAATATATTTTGTTTTTATTAAGGTAGAAAGTAGATATCCGTTCTAAGATCAGGTTTAAACAGTAGGAGAATAAAATAACACTGTGAAAGATCGTAAACAAAGAAGCACTTAATCTATTTCAATTTACGCATCTCGTTAAAGATTACACTTTTGTGGTAAATACTTCAGAATTTTCTCTATAGCTTATATATATACAATTTAATCTTGAAGTACTATTTTTTAACATAAGCCTATGGATATTTCTTTGATGGAAAGTATAAAAGTAATATAGAGAAACCATAATAATTATCAGAATATTTCAGTTACCCTATTTCCATGCAAATCAACATTGTTCCAATCTCTATTTTCAATAATTCTATCTTATTTCGTTTATACTCTAAAAATTTTTTAGAGGTAAGAAAAGATACTAATAATCTTTTATTTTCATTCTGATAATCTAAAAATCAACTAGTTAAATATATAATATACATATATTATCTATTATTATAATTAATAATTAATATAATTATCTATTATTATTATAATTGTTATAATTTAAATATTATGTATAACTTGTTTTTTTTTTCTTTTGACTTCTTACCTTCAAAAAGAGATGAGTCTTGAAAATATTCAAGCTTTTTTTTTTACAGGTATTAACTTTTAGCTTCTCTTTAAATGATTTGCCTATTACTGAATGAATAAGTATTTAGCAAAGCAACAGATCACAATTGTTTCAGTAGCAGCTGTAACAATTAAGTAAGATTTTTGTTTTCTTTTGTCTCTTTTTCGTACTTCGTATTCAATTAGTTACTGTTGACGTTGTACTAAAAAAGAAAATATAACTATTTGGTTAACAGCATAAAATTGAATGATATGAAAGTTGTCCAGTGGCTTCTATTTATTTGTGTTCTTATCTATTTTTTAAAAAATAAGTTATAAAAATAAAAAGAAATTTCTCTAAACAATAAAACAAAGCCCAGTAGATTAATTAGGTAATAGATTACAAAGATCTAAATGACATATTTATTTGTACTTTCATAAAACTCGTAATATATCTTTAAAAGTTTGATAAGTTGAGAGAGTATAATAAGGTCTAATTAGATAATATCTAGCCTTGATCTGATAAAAATATAAGTAAACATTAGCCCTATATATATAATTATGATATATTTGTATGAAAAAATAATAACTTTAAATGATTCTCATCAAATAATACTACTTGTTATCCAGAATAGCAAAATGACGTAAGCTTTCTACGTCATGGACTACTTTATTACTTTTTGTTGTATTTACCGGGAAACTTAAATCGAATCTAATTTAGTGTTTTAAATTAGTCGCTTAAATTTTATATCCGTGTCACGCCTTCGCTACCTCACTGCCTCTCTTTTCATCTTTATTCCTCTCTCTCTCTCTCTTCTCACGCTTTGTATCTCTTTCTTTCTAGGTCTATGATCAACCCTTTCTTTACATTTTTCTTTCAGAGTTTCATTATTTGCAAGTCATTGTGAAAATCTCTTTATTAAAATAAATAAAAGAATGAAATATATCAATTTGTTACACAAATTGCTCTCAGTTCTATATATTATTAATTTATTTAAGTATATATTAGAGTTGGTTAAAATTACATTCAACGTGAAAATGAACAAATAATGCCATGTACAATATGCATAATTCACAAATAATTCACATAATATACTATATTTAGTGAAATAATATGTAGAAAAGAACTTCTATTCTCTGTGTATGAGACATATAATGCATTTAACACCATTCTCTTGCTATAGTAAATCAAAATCTAACGCATTCCCTGTCATTAATTCTTTGGTAATTAACAACTCTCAAGAGAATTAATTAACATTGCAAAACTTGAATCATAAAAATTTTTGTCTGACAAATAAAGAAAATATTTTATTTATGACAAATACAGCTAATTGAACTGGAATTTTATATTCTGTCTTCTGTAACTATTGTCCACAAACAAGAGAATACCATATTTGAATTATTGTCATGGTAATGTAAACATTTTCATCTTTTGTATATAGCTGGAAATGTAGAATATAGAAGAGGAAATTAAGTTAATAGAGATCATGTAATTAAATCTTAAATATTATTTTAAGATAATAAAATAAACTTTAAACTCTTTAATAATCCAGGTAAAAGTATTGACTTTTTTGGCGCATAATTAGAGTATTTGTTTGCATTACTTAGCGCTCAATTGTAGATTGAATAAATGCTTTCAATTTCTAATTTTATGCGGTGAAATAACTTGACATATATACAATCTATAAATTTTCAATATGCCTAAAAAAAACATATGTATTACATACATGATCTTGTTATAGCTTATTCGAAAGATGTTCTATATACAATTTTTTTCGAAAAATGACAAACTATCTTTAATTTTTTACACTATTTATATTCTTTTATAAAAACTCATATACACTGTCAAGATTTCAAGAAAGAATCCATCGCTATCTTAGATTCACGCCTCAAAACATTAATACATGTTCGGTGAATTGAAAAAAATTGACTAAAGTTAATCTTTTGAAATGGAAATACTCATTTGATAAAATCAGCCAAAATTAGCAACATTGAATGAGTGTCAGCTGTATTTTATATTCATTCAGATACTTTGATGATTCTTTAGCTAAAAAATAATGAAAATATAGTCATAAAACGTCATTTTAATTTAAATTTGTATGTTTCTTTTACCGAGTTATAAAAATATGAATAATTTACCAGCAAGGATAAAAAAATATGTATATCTTACCTTCTTTTGTAACACTAAGTTTAATTTTAGCTGTTTCCTTGTAATGTCATCAATTTTCATACAAATTAGGGAAATTATAGAAAATTAAAGAGAGAAACTGACACAATTCCTTATTCTACGATTGCAGAATCGAGTAGCCTCAGGAATACTAATATAAGTGGAAAAAATTCAGAGACACATTATACCTATTCTAAGATTTTCTCAAGGTTATGAGAACATTTATTATTGTATAAGAAGTATATAGATTTATTTTATGTTTGCAAAGCAGTCAAAAAAAAAGCTATTCACCAACATCAATACTTTCAAATACAGATATGATTGAAAGATTTTATAATACAGTCAATGAAACCGGTATATACGATGACATAGATGAACAAATAATAAATAAAAGTGTCAAAGAAAACAGCTTCATTTCTGACAGTAATCTAGATAATACTTTAAAAGAAATATTTTCTTTTAACTCTACTGAGAGTTCAAAAAAAAGTTTATTATTTAAGAAAAATGAAAGAGGCCATAAAGAAACAGAAGAGGATTCACAGTCCCCCACTAATTTGTCATTAATACGAAAAAGTACTGACTATGTTACAAATGAAGAATTAGAATTGTTAAAAGAAATACAGATTAAAAGTTGGTATTTATTAATAAAACATTCATATAATCTACATAATTTAGTATTTAAATATCTTGTAGATAAAATATTGAAGAATATTTTGCCATTAAAACCATTATCATCGTATAACATGACAAAAATATCTAGGTCAGCTTCAAATTTAGTACCAAATACAATAAATAGGCAACGTCTCTTTGATATCACTATGCAAGAAATATTGAAGGAATAATCAAAAAGAAATAACAAGAATACTTAAATTTCTTTTATTATTTTAACAAAGTTCCATTCGCTCGATTTTATCTTGGATTAGAAATACATTAGTTCTATCTATTAAGTCACCTTTTTAGTCTTGAATCACCTTTTTATAAATTTATATATTCTGTATATATACATATAAAACAACAACAAATCCTCCTGAGAAGCAGTACAGTTCCGTTAAGTTTTAGTCTAAATGCAATATCTCTCTAGGTGCTATTGTAATTAAATGATTATTTTTGTTTGTTTCTTGTAAAAAATCTTTTCTCATTCATTAAAATTTCCTTTATTTTCATTTTTTTCAATTTTAACAACTAAAAACTAAAGGAAGAAGTAAAAGAAACGTTTTTTATTATATTTACAATAAAAGATACTATAAAAACTTATTGCGAAAGAATAATTTGGCAATTTCACAAATTTGGTGTTATTGTTGTATTTTAACTAATTTATTTGACAAATGAAAACAAATATAAATTGGAAATTTGAAGCTTAAATTCGGAAACAAGAAGATTTTTTATAATATAAGTGGAAAGTTTCTATAAATAAGGAAATTGTTTATTTATTTCATTTTAAATTAGTCAATGGCAAAGTATAAAAAGGAAACTTTTATTATAGTCTATTACAAATAAATGTATAAACATATTCTTCTTATAGTCTGGCAGTTAGACAGAGTTTGTCTTAATAACTTGTAGACTCATTAAATGCAATTTTTTTGTTACCACAGTAAAATTTCTAGATTTCATTATAACTGTAACACTTTCCAGTGCGAATAGAAAAGAGTTCTGTTTCTGTACATTCTTTTAAATTACAGAATAATTTCAATAAATTTTGAATAGATTATTAATAAAGTTAATTTTCTATGTGTTTGTTGTTGTTTTATCAACTTATTGAATATATATAGCATATCTAATAGATTAGTTTTAGCCAAGAGAGGGACAATAAAGACATATAAAAAATGAGAGAATGTATTGCTTATATATTAAACAGAACCATTTATAAGTTAAAAATACATGAAAAGAGAAAAAGTCTAGAATTTTAAATTTAAACTTCACAAATACATTATAAAGTTATACTGTATATAATATATAAAACATAGAGACATTTATTGAAAAAAGCAGGTGTAGACATATATTGATAATACCTTTCGATATTCTTAAATTATTTTAACTACGTACTCAGACACAAATTCAAGTTTGTATCTAACTAATTATTTTCTAAATTTTATTCTCTTCAAAATGACAAATAACTATAAATATATATATTTAAGAGACAATGAGAGAGAGAGAGAGAGAGAGCATAGTATATTGTAGATCTCTTTACTTGGTATATTTTAAAATGAAAATGAAAACAGCAAGAAAATACTTCTCTTTTTGTTTTTGCTTTTCGAAATACTACAAAAAAGACAATTCTTTTAATATTTCATTTGTTTCTCTTTACTCTCAATGCAAGTGAAGAGACTCTTTTAATATTATTATTTCATACAACTGTCTCGAAACATATGGTTTCTGTAGGATTAACTGAAGCATCGTTATATTTTAAGTTATTCTTTTGTTTACCATTATTATTTCTTAAGGCAACATTTCTAAAACTTTTGCTTATTTTCTTTTTACTCGTCCGACACATTAAATGAATAAAAGTCCGTCTGAAATTTGGATTAGCGACAAAATATACAAGAAAATTTAAAGCGAAATTTCCAGCTTGGGCAACATTTGTTATGGAAACAATGATATTATATAAGGGAGTACTTTCGCGTTTACCCACTGCTTTATACTTAAAAAAAGCTGCAATTTCTGCTGGACATACTAATATTAAATTTAAAATAACCATAATGGCCAATGTTAAAGTAGTATTGTTTGTTCCGTGAATCTGATTATCAGCCGTTTTACAGCAAAATTCAACTACTTTAAATCCTGATGCAAAGAATAGAGTGAAGAAAATTAACATAAGAAGTGGTATTATTGTACCGAACACAAACATTGTCCAACTATATATCTGATCTAACGTCTCATTTTGTTTAAGTAGACTGTCTTGAATATAGTAGGCATAATAATTCCCATAACAATGAATTGTTGATATTTTTTGATACCAAAAGCGAATCAAGTTGGAACCACTACTTAGAAGAAATATTATGACTATTTGAATTTTTGCAGCCGTTAAACCAGAAACTTTTAGACCGGTAGGATAATCAACAATAAGTAAAAATCTGAAAAAGATATATAAATGAATTCGAAGAAGTGCATGCATTTTGAATGACTTACCTTGAAGTTGTAGCTGCAAGAGTTAACCAAGTCGAGCAGAAAGCAAATATATTAATTAAAGGATAATAATAAATTGTATAAATCAATCGCACATTAATATCTGGGTGCATAAATGTTACTGAGTATAGCCAACCGTACAACATGAGGAAGAAGCAGAAACTCATGTCAGAAACTGCAATTGCAACAAATATTGCATTTGAAGCTTTTTCTAGTAGATCCATAGTTCTCTTTAAGGATACTCTTGTTAAAACTATTAAATTAAGGGCGTTTCCAATTAAACCAACTAAACACATGAAAAATAGACAATACTTATAAATAAACAATTCTAAATTCCTATAATAATTTTTGTCATCATTAGAGAAGTTCGCTCTCCTTATTATGCCTTCTTCTCCGTCCGTAAAATTTCTAATAGTAAAATTTAGTTGAAGAATTGACCCCACTGTTGGATCAATAGGGAGTGAAAATCCAGTTTCACTAGCGTTTTCTTGGCATACTTTCATCACCTCCTGCATTGGAATACATATTGTCTTGGACTGATTAATGTAAAAGCTACACTCCTGCGTCATTCTTCAAGATATAAATTAAAGTTTAGACAGGCTAAGACAGAATGTATATTTATGTCGAAAATAAAGAGAGATCTATTTCATTTTCCATCAAAAAAAAGATGTTTTCTGAAAAAAAAAGAGAGAAAGAAAAACTTAATTAGGAACGAAAGTTAAGTCGATCGAATTAACTACTGTATTATATAATTTACGCTTGTAATTATGTTGAATGATAGTTGAAAGTATCTATACAGATTCTTAAATGTAAAAGTTATTTTATTCATTCAGTTCTCTTCTTAAAAAACAAACATAAAAGAGCAATTTCAGCTCTCGATGAAATGAGGCTAATGCATAGCTAACGGGCACAATTTAGAAAATTTATCTGCGTTCTAGAAGTTTAGATTTTCTTGTTATAATTAGCCAAATCATTAAGAATCATAAAATATATTAATACGCTTATTATTATTAATAACTAAACTTGTCAACAATTAGAATAAGTTAATAATTAAATATTTATAAAATTGATTTAGCTAAACATACAGATGCATCCCATTATTTACTGTTAATATTTACTTTGAAGACTATGCATTAGCTTGCATTAAATTTTCATAATAATTAATAATTATAAGGTCATATAAATTGTAAAATTAGATAATTCAAGTGTTAGAAGAAATTTATAAGAATAAGAAAGAAAAAGAAACTTTTTTATCATCATTTTTTTTCACTATGAAATGGAAAATAGATAATATTTGTATATAAATGACTAAATTCGCTATTAGGCTTATATATATATATATATATATATATATGACTATAACTTGTAGATGGCATCTACAAGTTATAGAAGTATATTAGCATCATCTAAAGATTGAGTAGTTAATTACTGTACAGACAAAGGCGAGTTTGGTCACTGATTCTCATTGCCGTTCCTTCCTACTGCTTATAGGGGATTTGTCTTTTTTTTTTAAGTAAAAGAAACCTTTTTTTACGGAATAAATGTGACAAAATAGACAATAATTACTATGTTAATTTTAATAATAAGTTAAAAGTGGTTTAAACCATATAGTCTAAGTTATATTACATATATATAAATAACAAATGTTTACTTTTTAATAATAATGAACAAAGACATAGAATAGGAAGTATAAAAAATGATAGTTGGTATAAAGTGATACATGTCGAATAGAAGCATAGGTTAATGAATAAAAGCTTCCGTTTAAACTTCCTGTTCTTTGTTATTAAAACAGCGGTTCTTAATAATTTTTATTATTATATTTATTATTATTCTTTATTATAGAAATACTGTATAAATAAATATATATATATATAAATATAGTATATAGTTTTTTCTTGGTCTTTATGATAAAATATAACAAAAACTCTTCTTGCTATTATTTCTCATTACTTACTGTTAAAGGCTTATTCATGCTCTACTTATTATAAATTAACTCCTTTTACAGATACTGCAGACATTGTGATAGGGAATGGCGTGGCTTCTAGTTATATCCTCAACAACTTTTACAAGTAATAGTCGTGTAAATTCCAGATCTGGATTTCTTCAGCGACACCTATCGGTACAAAACTATGAAAAGGAAAAGAATCATTTAAAATCTTATTTCTTTGTAGAAACTTTTATTTAATCGAAAATAAAGAAAATAATATTAAAATAATAAAAATTCATTATTTTACTAGACATTTTAATGTCAATATCATCGGGAAATCGTAGTATAATTTACAGGTCTTTTTAAACATTTCTTTTCTATTTAGACTAGTGTGGATTCTCTGTCTTTAATTCTCTTCGTAAAGTTTGTAATTGGGTTATCAGTCATAAAAATTGAGACGAGAAATTGAATTAATCCGCTGAATGAATGAGTACATCCAGATATTAGAAAAACTCGATCAAGGTTTAACTCAGTTTCAATAGTTCCAGCGAGAGGTAAAGCTATAAAAAAAGCCATAGTAATAGAAAATAGCGATGTTATAATGCTGATATCGAACTGCAGTATTGTTGCTATAGAGTAAAATGTCCCAAAAATTCCTGAGCAGAGAAGCATCGGATAGAAAGTATTTGTTGCAGCTCCTATAAGTAGCATCAATCCAGATATTAATGACGATAAGCCCTTTACAAAACGCTTTCGGCAAATTGTAACTTTACTTGCAAATAAAAATGCGAGAAGGGCAAAAGCTAATTGAATGCATAAAATAATCGTTGCTACAAAAGGGATTCTCCAATTATATAAAGACGGAGCTACAACTCCCTAAAAGTTTGTTGTTGATTAAATAACAAACTACCTATCCTTAGTATTATTTAATATAAAAATTAATGATGTTTTACTTTTCTAATATCTTTTGTTCTCTTTTTTATAGCTACTTTCTCACATAACATTGAATAATATATTTATTTCTTAATTAATTCTACTTTAATTAACTGTTTGAGATTTCCCTTTTGAAGATGTTATTTTGAGATAAATTGCCTTCTGATAAGAGTAATAAAAGTAAATTACAGCTCCAACGTGAGTCATAATTGCCGTGAAAAAATCCAAGGCTGGCAGGATTTTGGAGAATGGAGATAAATTAATTGGTTGATTTAGCATATCATTATCATCGATTGTCAGCTTTCTGGGTAAGAGTAGAGCAAATGGTAGCGAATTTAATGAAATTGAGCTGAATATAAGAAACGTTCCTCGCCAAGAATAAATATCTAATAACAATTGCTGTCGGGAAAGAAAACTATATAAATATATTAAAGTGCTTAACCTGTAAGGTTCTATTCGACATGAAGAAAAACCCATATGCAAGGACAACAAATGTAGGAAAAAAGTTGCTTATAATTAATAACGAAGTCACAATTTTTAAAAAGAATAATCAACCAACTGTCACTTTGACTTTATATTCATTTAACATAAAGATCGGTCAAGCGATGAATCTTGGACATCTTACATAGAATAGAGTTGTCTTCTACATCTTAACAGGAAAGAAATGCAAGAAAAATACTTTTCCAATGACTTTATATAAAAGCAACAAATAAGGAGAGTTTAACAAATTATTATAGAGTAAATTTAATATAAGTCTGGTAATCTTATTATTTTACTTATAAATTTATGATGATAGATATTAAAGATAAAGCTACATAAGCATTACCACAAGTTTCTTACTATTGAGGACAGAGCCTTCAAATTTGTCAAAAAGGGAAGGTCAAAAATGGAAAGTACTTCTTTCAAAGATGCTAGTATACACTTTTAATGTTTTAAAAGCGAAAAATTTTAAAATTAACTATTCTGTAATTAGCTTAATTATGTAAACTTACTTGAATAGGTAGAAAAATAATAGGACCCAAAAATAATCCAATTAGAGAAATTACTCGTGCAGAATTTTTATATTGTTGTCTTATTCCGTAACTTATTGAGATATAGTTTGAAACTATTTGAACTCCAATACCCATTCCAGTAATTATACCAAATGTAAGGCATATTAATAAGAATCGATTGCAAATTGAACTGATTATTAAACCAACAAAGCACATAAGACAACCAACTATTGATATCGATTTTGGTCCATTTTTAACTAGTAATTTACTTCCAATTAAACCTTTGAAAAAGAATTAAAATATTAGTATTTTAAAAGCTTCATTAATAAATAAATAAATGATACGTTCATACAAAATTCACGAAGTATGAATCTAGTTTTACAGAACGTATGATCTCTTTTTTTATATTTAAAAATAAATAGTAAGTTGAGTTGCTTTCCTTACCGCCAACAGCTGCAAAAGTCATAGTTAAAGATGCGCAAAAACCAACAACAACGGGATGTATTTCTTGTAAAAGACGGAATTGTGTAGAAAATAGGGTAATTGAAGAAAATATAGCCGAATTTAATACAAAAGTCAAAAAGGAGGCAGTTGCTATTCCTAATTCTAAACTGTTCATCTCAGGTGTCGGAGGCTTTTCAACTATACAATGACAATGTAAAGTAGGCTCTCCCATAGGTTCTTCGATTACAATTATATTATCTGGTGAAAATGCCTCGTTTTCTCTATACAGTCACCGTGGGGATTTCATTGCAATGTCTTTCATTAAACTATTGAAAACTTATCTCTTTTCTAATTAAAAGACTTTCTAGGAAAATATTTATATCTTGCCTAGAAAATTTTCAATAAGTTCTTCAATGTAATGTAATATGAAAAAGGTCATTTTTTTCGCGTCTTTATATCTATCTTTTATCATAATGAACAGCATATGCAACAGATGGCGTTTTACTAATATCGAATATATAGAAATAAACTTTCTTCCTGTATAGCAAGCTACTAGGAAATTGTAAAATAAAAAACTAAAACAAAAGAATTTTCATTTAGCTGAAACAATACAAAACAATAGATAAAAGAGAAGAGAATGGAACAACCTGTTATTTTAAACTATAAGTTGATGATTTAAACTTAATTCTATTAGTGTAAAACACAGTATAAAGGTCATCGCTATAGCTTTCTCTTTCAGTTTATATGCATGCGCAATGTTCCAGGAATATTCGAAGAATTCTATAAACATTCGTACATTGCCTACCTCAAAACCACTATATATATACCTAATTTTATATATTGTCTAAAATTATATCTATATGGAAAAGGCCTATAAAAAATACTCTTGAAGATATCAAGCATCTCTTTCAACGTAATTTTCTCTCCTTTTCTTTAATTGAATGATTAGAAATAGATGAATTTACTGTTGATTTGTTGGATAAAAAATTCGAACATAGAGTTCTCTGTACAAATTTTTATTGCCTTTTTATTAATCTCCTTATTACACTTGTAGAAAAATTAGGAGATTATTAATTCTTCTTTATATAAAAAATATTAAATTTCTATTCGGATCTTTTCTTATTATATTAATATATAAACTGTATATATACTATTCTAAATGTCCTATTTAGACTATTTCTTTATTAAATAGGAGTTCTTCCTTGAACTATCCCTTTACATAAAAGTTGTCAAGTGCTTTCCTATATTACTTCTATTCATCTGTTTATCACTTAGTTTGTAATAATGTTTGTCAGTGTTAAAGCCCCCACGGGACATTTACGCTTCATGATGATAAATTTTTCCATTTTCAAAAGCTTTTTCGGAATGTTTTCTTATCCAAAGTAATGTTTGTTCATACCTTTCACTTTCATCCTGTAAATCACATTCTTCTTCCTTTCTATTTAGGTCTCTGTTAACATCGTCATCTTCTTCCTCATCTTCGGTGGCGGTAAATACGCATTCTTGAGTTTTAGTTGAGAAAGTAACACGTTTGTTCGTGAGAATAGTCGCTGTTGGACTAGAACGTTGCTCCGAAGAACTTACAGATTCTTCCATCTGCAAACGATTATTATTTCTTGATCAAGTAATTCTACCTAATTCATTCGACTATGCTACTTGTCAAAACATATCCAAGTTGTTTGTACGAAAATTATTTTTTACCTTTGCACAGAGGCTATCTCGGCAATAAAATGCTGCTCTCTTTTGAATCTATCTCGAATTTCGTGCCCGAAGACAGACAGTATCAACAGAAACCACTAAGTAAAGAAATCGCAGGATATAGCGAAGAGCAAGGGCGTTCCTCGTTTCGAAAACGATGGGGTAAAAAGGTAAGTTAGATTACTTTGGGTTTTCAAGTGTTATTTTGAAAGAAATTCGTATAAAAGTGATGGGGTGGAAAGTAGGTAATGATTGCAAACTTGCTTTAGTAAAATCATTATGTACTTTAATCTGCTTGAAAAGAATGTAAAGGATATCAGAGAGAATTTAAGAGCAGCAATTTATTATAGTTTATTAAAAGGGCATGTTATGAAGAAGTAACAGATAAAATAGTCATGCTTGGCTAGATATTGAATCAATCATTTTCTAAGAAGAACAACCTACTTACCTTATAATAAGTTTTTTATTTTTTATTGCAATGTAAACGAAAACATACGAACAATTCTGAATGGAAAATAAATTTATTTAACCAACGAACCAAACAGAAATATTTTACTCTTTTCAACTTTGCAGTTATCGGCACGAGCTAGTCGAACAATCTCAGCACCAGACCGATTGTAGACTCAGACACCACGTGCATTTCTTCCTAAATTATAATAAAATATTTCTGTATAGTCTTCGATTCTTTGCATATTAGGCAAAAACATTCACTTAGTAAGTTTATTAAGTTTATTTATATAAACAACTATTTAATGTTTTATTTAAATAAAGATAATTAATAATATAAAGAAAAATACCATTAAAAGTCAATTTTGGCTGAATTTTGTTTTGTCAATATTTTTATTTCTTTTATTTGTTAAAGAAATATAAATATTTTAATATTACAGAAACTCAGCTATTGTTTATTAAGAAAAAATGTGCGTGTCTACGAGTGAGAGAAAGCAGGAATAGTACTCTTCCTATACGTAATTAAGTCTTTTTTACATTAACTATCTCCAATGTAAACGTTTACAGTAAAATTTATTTGCAGTATATTCTATATATATATATATTAGTATACTTTATACTAATATAAATTACAGTAAGAAAAGGTAAAATATATAACCCACGCCTTATTCCATTTAAAATAAATTCATTATTTTTAAAGCATTCTATCTTTTATCTAAATATAAGTCAACTTATAAAAACTCTAGGGAACTTTTACTAATATCCAGATACTTGGAAAAAAAATAACGTTAAGGTCATAATTCGGAATGTGAGTAGATTGATGAAGGATCAAAAACACTTGGCTGTCTATTTAGGCAATAAGGTGTCGAAATATGTACTAGTCAATTTACCTTTCATTGAACTTTCTTTATTAACATATAAAAATTTATGTATCAAAAACAGAAAAAACAGAATATAGTATAATAATAACAAAAAGAAAGACAGAAATGTATAACAGAGACTCTTTAAGTTGACAAAAGTTGGGGGGAAAAAAAGAAGATATAATGATACATTTTTTTTTAACTTCAAAAGGATGTTTTAATTATCTACCTTTCAGTTTCATCATTATATAACTTTTGTGGCGTGACTAGAAATGGTAATTTATATACATCAATCCTTCTTATTTCATCTACCTTTACAATTTATTCTCTTTTCTAGTTAGCACCAATCTCTAAAGCAGGTTGGACGGTAAATGTTTCTGAATTTTTCATGGCACTGAAGCTTATTTTTAACGTTTTTAAAAGAAAATAATAGATTTTCGAGGAGATTCTTCAATTAATCAAAATATAATTTCATTATAGCTCCTCTTCTTCCTCTCCATTTACCAACGTTTAATGATTTTTCTCTTAAAAATCTTAACCAGTTTTCAGTGTCTTCTTTTTGTAATGCCTGCAGAAATAATAAAAGAAATCTAAAAAATTTGCAAACAATTATATGTGTTGTTGGATTACTTTAAAGGCGATTGTTTCATTTTCGGTGACGTCTTGTATTTCAACATAGTTATTTATTTCTGTTACAACTAATCTTTCCATATCAATGGGAGACTGCAAAATGTATAAATAGATGAAGCTATTTTTTTTAGGTATTTATAGTTATATAACATGCAATTACCAATTAAGAATGCCTAAAAACTATAAATTCAGTGTATATATATAACTGTATATTATACATTTGACATTCTATATCTAAAACAACACGTTTAGAAATATATATCAAAAGCACATGCTTCTACTTTTAACAATAAACACAATTGGAGAACAGATAAATATTTTCAAAATGATGATTCATTTAATCCTAGACGGGCGTATGATACTGTTCAGACTAATAAACATTTTCGCAATCATACCCTATCGTTTTATTATGAAAATCTTACTTACTCGTATCAATGTATGTATTCCATCTCTACCAATTTCTTCGTTTACTAACACCAGGAAACATTTACCATCGTTCCTTTGAATGAGATAACCAAAAATTTTAATAAATTTGATATTTGCAACTTTATCAATCCAATCTGATTCGTGGATAAACGCTTGAGAAAGAGCAGTTGAATATACCAGATGGCACTGTTGTGCAGTTGTATTAAGACTATCTAGTACAACTTCGAATCGTTTCGATTCTCCCATGTCTTGAATTTCAGTTAGCATTTTCCTAAGAGCTTCGGATTGTTTTGACTTTCTTCTTAATGAGATCGATCCCTTTGATGACTAAATTGTAATTTAAAAGATGTATTTATTGCAATCGTACTATTATTGGCTATCTTATGGCTAACTTACCGAATTAATATGTTTTAAAATACGGTCAATCTTTCGATAAGCTTCTTGTAAATGAAGTTTATCAGGATGATCGGAGGGTGTTCGTTTTTCTACCCTTTTCAGTAAGAGAGGATATCTGTATATTCGCACAATAATTAGCACAATTAATGAAACAAGTCGAAATTAATTTATATACTCACTTCATTATTCTTTGAACAGGCTGAATGAGATAATCCTTTAAATACATTCGTCTAGTAGACTCGTTCTCATCCTGTAATGCAGCCAGAAATACCTTTAGTAATACTTTTTGATTTTGCAGTTGTTCCAAGAGAATTGCAGACTGACTCGCACCATTGCAATAAGCATCGTAGGCTAGGAAGAGAGCAGAATTCTTTGAAAATATACTCCCAATACAAACATCTTTCAAATTCTGTATAAATAATAAATAAATTGTTTACTAACGCTATAATAAAGAAAAGAAATTAAAGCAAAGTATCTTACCTCATCGCCTTCGTCTAAGCCTTGCGTGACAGCAAATTCTATTTTTTTCGTTAATTTTTCGTTTATATCGATAATTTGATTTAGATTATTAAAGATTAGATTAATTTGTTCATCGGTTAATAAACGAGATTTCTTAAGGGGTACTTTAAATTCACAATTTAATATAGTTAATATTTCGCCAAAGCTCTTCTCAGTATTTAATATCTCAAGAATAGCTTCTTTTCTCTCCATTATTCTTCTAGTACAACTATCACAATTATCATTAGATGCCGAATTACCACAATCTTTGCACATATCATCCTGTTTAAATAGCATAAGATATGGATTTTATGTTCTAAGTGTTAACAAATTCAAAGGAAGAGAAGGGGAAAAAATTAATATTAATTATAAATCTTATTAATATTGAAATGAAAAAAAATATGTTCAACTTACTATAGACGATCGGTTAATATCAAGAGAGACAGATGGTGAAAGTTCAAGAATATCAGGTAGTATCTATTACGGAAAATCAATTAGTGATTTCTTGAAAGAATAACGAACAAAAAAGAAAATAACGGATATATAAACAAAACGAAAACAATAAAGTCAATGTATAGCACTTATAGTTGAAGAATAATCAATAACTTATAGTCACTTATTAAGAAAACTTACAGAACTATTTAACGAGATTAAACTATGTGATCTATTTCTCTCACAAATGGAATTTTCCTGTAAATTTGCATTTGCCGCATCATTAACAGTTTCGAATGAGTTTTTATTTGGAAAGTATTGTCCTGAGCTATGTCTTCTTTTTTTAAATGAATTTCTAAAGCTCTTTATTGTTGAAAAGAAGGAAGTCGATGGACGACGTCTTCTTGGCGGAGCTGTAGGTATCTATTAAAGAAAATCAAAGAAAAGTTTATTTCAATAAATATATAAAAAAGAGAACACTCTAAAGAAAATTCCTCGCCTCGCACCTGTTCATTAGCAATGCACAATTTTCCATCACCTGTTTCTTGAAGGTAGTTTAGACCTTTCTTCACCGGTGAATCTCCATCTTCAGAGTCTGTAAGAGATTGTCATATAAAAGAAAAAAGACTATAAATCTAAAATTTCTGCCCTAAATCCATATATTTAAATATAGAGTATAGAGAAGAGAGTTTTCTTTTAACTTAATATAATTCCTAATTCCATGAATATTTATTAATGTATGGTAAAATGAAATTGTAAAATTGACATTTACTCTTTTATAAAGATTACAAATAAACCTATAAATTATTTAAATCATTATAAAATATTTAAAGACTTCTCGTCTATTAAATCTATGTTTTTTCGAAATGTCAATATACAGCTATATGATAGAATATTTAAGAAATTCTTAATTCGTCGATTTTAGTGTCATTTTTATATCTTAAAACTGAAAATACATCTTACTAAGTATTAAAAAATTTACATATACTTCTTCTTTATATGAATAAGGAATATATGAATAATAATTTAAATATAGTTATTACCTTCAACAGAATTTAAATCTGGTTTCTTAGAGACTGTATCAGAATAGAGTAATTCGGAAAAAGGATCGCTCTTATTTGATTTATTTTTCTTTTCCCTTATATTTTTATTCCTTTCCTCTAAAGCTTTCATTTCTGATACGTCACTTGTAGATCTTGAAACAGCCTTTGAACTCATATGGAACTAATCATAGTAGAAATGAAAAGCATATTACTTTTATTAGCTTTTGACTGAATTAATTAGCCAGAATTCTATTATTTCCATATAATATATAATATATCCATTTTAATTCATTATTCCATTACTGATAAGGAAGATTATAGAAAATATGTATATATTACGTACCTTTTCAATATTGGTGTACTGTTCTAAATTCTCTAAGCTACTAATTTTTTTCATATCCTCAAAGGATCGTTTATCACTACCACAAAATGCTGAGTCATCGCTTTCACTGTCTGACTTGTCTAAATCCCCGATGACTTCGTAAATATGATTGTCAGACATCTGTTCCTTGTAAGTTCTCGGTGGTAAAGGAGGTGGTCTGTCTTCAGCGGTGTCCTTGCGACTTCCTTTTCTATTAATTGTAGGGGGCAGGGGTGGTTTCCTATTAGATCTAGGCGTTTCCACGTTTTCGTCATCCTCTTCAATGGTATAAGTTTGCAATTTTTTATTCTTTTCAATATCTCCTTTTCTCCTCATTTCTTTAAATTCCTCAAAGGTTGGAATATGAATTTTTGCTTTTAAGTCAAGACTTTTAGATACGCTTACAGGTCTCGGTGTAGCTGGCCTTTTGTCATCATTTTCTCTTTCCTTTTCGTTTGAATCTGAATTAAGATCACTAAAATCCAAACTTGGCACATTCGCTGGCTTATTAAGTTTAGTCTTAATTATCTCTTCCTTTGTCATTAATTTTTCCAATTGTTCGTGAATCGCTGAACTCTTGAGAAATTTCTTAAATATATCGCTTTTCAAAAGTGAATCTGCTCTTCCCGTAGAGCTTTGTTCGGTTTTTTGCATATTTGTTTTTTGAAAAGCTGAATCATCCGCTATCTTCGGAGTAATCCTCACATCTTTACTTAATATTTTAGGCTTAGGTTTAATAGTAGGCTTTTCACGTGGAATTTTACAATTTGTGCTAGCAGACAGTTTTGGTTTATAAGGGTCTATTACTTCAAATCTTTCTGCAATATTTTCCGAAGTGTTTTTGTTGTTGTGAGTAGTTTCTTTCAAAATTGATACGTTTTCGGTTGAGTTATTATCAATTTTTAACAAACTGTTTTCGGAATGGGATCGGACAATTAGTTTAAAGCGTTCCGTTGAAGATGGTGTTTTAACGTCGTCTTCATCTTCGCTAACATGCTTTGCTTTCATTAATGGTTTTGGTTTCACAGGGGGTTTATTAACGGGTTTTTTAACTGAATCCTGTTTATTATTTTCTATTTCATTGCAGTCAGTTGATTTGTTTTTAGAAGGTTTTGGTTTTGTAGGTGGTTTCCTCATAGTATTTTCCTTAGGATTTTCAGGAGAAAACGAATCATCTTCAGTAAATAGAGGTTTTGGTAAATCTGTAACTTCGTTAAAGGTTTCGTCGTCGACGTCGTCTGCTGCAATGGCTTCAGACAATTTTCTCAAAGCATCCTCAGTCAATAGTTCAGAATCGAAGCTTTGACGATTGCTCTCCATTCCATCACTCAAAATAGGATCCGGTAAGTCAATGCTGACGTCAAAACTCTCCGTAATAGCGTTCTTCTCTAACGAGTTTGCCTGATTATTATTCATTATATGAGGCTTAGTTTTTTTCCTTCGAGGAGGCGCGACAGGAATTGGTTCGGCAAGACCTTTTAACTTTGGGGCCCTCTTGCAAACCAATTCTCTATTCTTAGACTCCCTTCTACCTTTGATCTCAGATGTCAAATTTGACAATCTTTCAATATCATCTTCCGACCTGTCCGACTCAACAAACCACTTAATTACTCTTTGTCTAACATCAATATCTTTTTCTTCATTTTTACATTCCTCTTTAATTTGCCTATAGATAGAGTCGGTACTCCTTAATTTCCTTCTCTTTTTACCAGAGTCTGATTTTAAGGATCCGTTGAAGCTCCGTAATTTATTACCGCCTGCGCAATCTTGAATATCTTGAAGGTCAAAGCTATGTGAAGGTTTTACTTTATAGCAATCCATATTACCCTCCTTAAATTTCCTATTGGACTCGTTTATTCGATCATATTTCGAATCATCAAATCCAGACATACTCTATTTACCCAAAAATTCCATACTTTTAAAAGAATCTGAAATAAAAGACTTTATTATAAAATTAAAACCCTATTAATTATGCTATATAAGTATTCTTATATATATAGTTGTATAGAGTCAAACATAAACATTCTATTCTTTCTAAAAATTTACTGGAAAACATAGTAGAAAGGTTTGACATACCTGGATAAGCTTACATTATTAAAATAAAACATAGACTGAGTATATAACAAGTACTCATTACTTGTAAACGTGTTTTTTTGGCATTGTGTTTACCAAAATGAATTTACTCAGTATGTTGACAAACTCACTACTAATCAATATCAACTATATTACAAACCCTAATAATAAAACACAAAAATTTTTCTATTTTTGAGATGTTTAGCGAATATTTCTTACTAATAATACAATATAGGCTAAAATAGGTTAGGAATTTACTCACAGTATACAAGATATTTGTTTATGCAATTTTTTGCCTTTAACACTAATTGCAAATAATGTCAGACTAGAAATTTTCAGACTAAAACTATTCTTCTAAACTAAGGCCTATTTTGTATCTGCAAGAAATTTATAAAATGAACTGCACTATATATTAATATTATTTGTAACTAAATTTAAAAACTCGTAGCAGACTACGTTTAAGTTAGAATTGTAACATTTTCCTACTCTATGTAAATAATTAGAACGAACCTTGATCGGCTAATATATTCTACGAATATTTTAGTAAGTAAACCGCCTCCAGTTAAAAAAAAGGCATAGGCATTTATTAATCCAAGGAAAGAATGCCGATTATGTATGTTTTTCAGGCGAAAAAAAAATTGAATCGATTCTGATCGGTTTTGTCACAAACATACCCCCCCTATATAAATAACAATTTACAAACGTATATTTACAGTTTCTATAGCAACGAAAACATATGCAACACGTGTTCCGAAATTCGCGTGAAATTCTATTCCAACTTTATACACTGCACATTTGATAGCTTCAATACAAAACTACAGAATATTTGTTTGGACGCGTATCCTTAAATATTTTCTCTAATCTAATATATCAGTCAGTAATTATTCATTTACTTAATATTTGTTATAACTATCCTTCATTATTCCTATTAACTGAATATTGTTAAAGAATTATAGAATTCTTTCTACTTAACCGATAAAAATATGGCTTACGACTAAATATTATCAAGTTATCAACTTACCAAGACTTTTATAATCGTTACATTTGATAATCTAGCCTATGTTACCATGAAATTATTATTATATCCAAGAATTAACAAAAAGTATGTAAAATATTCGGAGTACTAAGCACCCAATCGGAATCTAGTGAATCACTGATTCAGTCACGCTAATTTTTTTCTATTGATTACGAAATTCTCGACCGGGCACAACTGTAATTTAATAATAGGCAGCCATTTTAAAAGCGTATTGCAGCTGGCGATATTTCGCCATTTTTATTATATCATAAAAGTTTTACGTCTATTGGACCCTACGTTCAACTGTTTTCTTACCTGGCAAAGGTAGACAAGAGTAATCGATAATAGCGTCTGATCGTACTAGTGGCTCCCTATACTGTATTTCCTGGAAACGAATTCCAAACTTTACAATCAGAACTACATTGTAACGCTATTTAAAGTAAATTGTGCAAAGTTGCTTGTATTGAAGGAAGACTAGAGGCTTGCATGCAAATGAAATATAAAATAATAATAACAAATAGGAAAAGAATTTAGGAATAAAAACGTCCATTCAAAATTGTCTAACGAAGAAAACAATAGTAAATTTTAACTGTAAGATAGCACTTTAATCTTGCCGTTTCTTTGGGATATTAAAAGTAAACCATCTAGATCTGTCGCAACTGCAAGAGGACTCTCAATGCAATCCTTTTTTGTTACCAAATATTGGAGGAATTTTCCATCAGGCCTATATAAATGAACCCTATGCGACCCTTCGTCAGCTACAATAATGTAACCATCGGAATCGCAGCATATGCCTGCAGGTTTTTTTAGGACCCCTATTAGATGCGTAGCTTGTTCTGATCTTTTATAATTTCCATTCATTGTAAAGAATTTTATGTGCGGATTTGCAACATCTGTGACAAGAACTTCGTTGGAATTAGAAACTGTCATAAACTTCGGATTCTGTAGAACAGAGCAATTATCAGAACAACCGCTATCAGTAGAAGATAAACTATCGACAGCGGAAACTTGTCCGTAAGATTTCCTATTAATCGCAGGGGAGCATGGTGCACTTTTCGACGGTTGAGTTATACCTAAGAGTACTCCCAGACGTGTTGGAACTTCTTCGTCACCAAAGCTCTGAGTTTTTGTCTCATCAATTCTCACTACTTTTGGTCTAACAGAGTCCGGTATAGAATATAAAAATTCACCATTGACAGGACTATAGACATTTATTATCTTGGAAGATCCATCAAGAGCCAATATCTGGCCCTGGTGATTAACTGTCACGGCTATAACGTCGAAAAAAGGCTTTATATCCATCACGTGATCGCCTAATCTTGTAAAGACTGCTAAACGATCCTGATCGGCAACGACAACATGGCCCTGAGGTAAAACAGCGACGTCTCGAGGATCTTTTAGTAGGTACTCTCCTCGTCTCCCAATTGACTGTTTAACTTCACCTTCTCGAGACAACAATTTTATACATTTATTTGCATTATCTACAATCAAATATCCACTATTATCATCTAAAACGCATATTGCTACAACAACAGGATCCGAATCGTCACAATGAGGAACGGCACATGTTAATTCTCTTTTGAATTCGACAGTTCCCTTTAATTCAGTCGGAGATGAGTTTGGCATCTTGCCCATATTCAAACCCCTAGAAATTGGAACAGTAGGCCACACTGGATAGCTATCTAAAATTCCCAAGAGCTTTTCGTTGGACTTTGTCGGATTGAAATACAATGTCCGCTTAGCAACGCTTGTCGGGGGTTTAACTGCAGATAAACTCTCTAACCTACTACACACTTGATGACGTGAATTCAGAACATCAATTGGATTAGAATATTGCAATAATACATTAACGTAATTAATTGCTGTTTCGAATGTTTGCTTTGTTTCCTTTAAACATCGTCTTCTGGTTTGTAATTTACACTTCTCTTTTTGTTGCGTCATGTCGAGTTCTTCCATTAAGATTGTCCTTTCATCTTCAATTTTCCTATGCAATGATTGTGCATGGGCGTTTATCTCCTTTTTCAGTTCGCTTACTCTCTCCTCCAATTCTTTTTCATAATCGGATATTAACATTTCATAGTTTGTATGAGGTTTAAGAGTTTCTTCAACAGTTTCTCTCAGAACTTCACTTTTTTTCTCGAAAGGTTTCGATGCTAGTCCTAAACTGTGTATTGGATGTCGTAAGTGTGTGGGAAGTTTGCAACTTTCACACACTAACTCGTCGCAGCGAGCGCAAAATCCGTCGATAGGTTTCCGGTGTAAAAGGCAATAAGCTTTTTGCAATTGGCGAGCGCTACTAAATGTAACTTCCGTTCCAAAATCAGTTGCATCTATAGCAATATGATTTCTGTATGCCTTTAAATGCTTTACTGAACATTGTAAACATCTAAATTGACCACAGGCACTGCATTTTTGTAGGCTCTCTAAATTGGAGCAATCGTAACAAAACAACTCACAATTACAGAACTTTTCTATCTCACCAACACTTTCAGCTAAAGTATGTGCTGTCAAACTTGTTTTATCCGTAAAAACAAAACAGTTCGGACACTGGAATGGATTACTGGACTCTGGCGGACTGTGACGAAGCAAACAATCAATGCAAACCGAGTGCAAACAAGCCAACAATTTCGATGATGTTGATAAACAGTTGCATGAAATGCAAGAAAGCGTTCTTCTTAAGAAGTCTTTATTGAGCGTTTCCTTTAAAGCATCTAAGTCTGAAGATTTCTTGAGAATAGTTTCAAACGAAACCGGAGACTTTGATTCGGAATCAACAAAAGATCCCACTCGTAGAACAGATGGCAAAGTAACTTCTGACTGAGATTTGATTAAGCACAGAGGATTAGCATAATCAGGTCGACGTTCTGGGAAGTGAGTTTCATAAAGTCCTAAATTATTGATTTCCTCCTGTTTTATACATTGACATATTGATTTATCGACTCTATCCAATTCACTAGCACTTTTCGGTTTTTGAAGTTTAGCAAACGTTCCGCTCCCATCTTTCGGTAGACTATATGATCTTATTTCTGTCTGTTGTAGTACAGCAGACGAACGCATGCTGCAGAGCATTAAGTTTTCATCTGATAGAGGCTGGGGAGCAGAAGAGTTACACTAAAGAGTTTTATAGATTATTTATGAGAAGGAATTGATTTTAGAATTGCAGTTCGGTGTACCGCTTTATTTACCCTTAGTCATGAACGTCTAATACCAGCTGAGAATCGAACTGCAATACTTTTTTTCTCGTCGATTGTTTTATTCATCAAACTTTTACGTAATTAACTTAATTGCATTTATTTATATATTCAATTAAGCCACTTACCTTTACTAAAATTTAAGTAAGCTTTTAATATCTTTATTCCTGCAGTACTGCACAGCAATAGGTACCACGGATGGTAATTTATTATTATAAAGATTCAACGACACCTAGTGGGATTTTTACTTACTGTTAGCCTTGCTTCTAGTGTAAACAATTGTATTTGTTGATACTAGCTTATATTATGCAGAATATCTGCGATATCAGTTCAAACAATACTAGGAAAGCTAAGCTATGGTTGCAATTTTTTTATTACTGAAATATATTCCACATAGTGTAGGAATTTTTTTACTTCTTCTCTCTGTTTTCATTTCTATTAAATAAAAAAGAATAATAAAAAACCGCAATACCGCAATAGTAAAAATAAGAGATAAGGTACTGTGAATTCTTTAGAATCAAACTAAAATATTTATACGTAGCTTACTTAAACTTCTTTTATATTTTTGTAATAGTATTTAGTGCATATTCGAAAGTTTTGGTAAAAGTATGAAAATTATCTTTTTCGCATCTAAAGTAATTCTAGGATTATGTAATTGATAAAACAAACACTTATAATAAAACACATTTTCCTTTTACGTCATTCAAAATATTTTATGGCTTTTCCGTATTGTGTATGAACTATGAAATTAAAGAGAAAAGAAGGATTGTTACTCTTTTTCTTTTTTTACCTTTTCTTATATATATCTTACGGCTTTCGTCATCATTTCCGCCTAAAGTTGTTGATTCTATAAATTCTGTAATACGATACGCAAATAGATTCTTCACTTAACTAAAAGGAACAATTCGATGGTGTTCCTTATTATTTTTCCTTTGATATATAAGATATTGAAGTTTTCTGTTTCATATAAAAGACGTATTTTATACGAATTTAGCGCTAATTGTTTAAATTTAATACCTTATTAATGGACTATAAAGGCTTTATAAAGTAATGTTTCATTCAAATATATAAAGCAATGATTAGGTAAAATGTTTTTTCTTTTATTTTATTATATTTTTGTGTTTATTCTCTGAATTATAAACAAATTTTTCAATCTATATTGTTTATATATATTAATATATGTTTATATGTTTTTATGTCTTTTAAATATTATCTATTGATTATTTTTAAGCTTTTATTGTTCAACATAAAATTCTCTCTTTTTTTTAGATTTTTCTTCTAAGATTATAGATTTAATAATTGATTTTCTTTTTCTTTACTATGGAAATAACGTGCTTTGACCCGTTGTTTAAGCTTTTTACGGCTTATATTTTACTTCTAAGTGATTATTTCATTAAGGAAATAATATTGTTGACAGTTTTGGGGTTAAACGACGATCAGCATTGTCATATAAAATCCTTTTTATTATCAATTATAGTCATTTATACGTTTTTTAATAGAAATAGCTTTAGGATTAATCATTAATTTTTACTTAAAATCCCATTCGATAGCTTAGTTAAAAAAAAAGAAATTTAGTAGACGAATGGCATAAATTAATTTAATAATACACAGTTAAAACATAAATGCTCTTATTTCTCTATAAATAATAGATGGCGCAAAACTATCTACTATAATTTCCTCAATCGGAATACTTTTTGGCATTGCACGCCATCTCTTAGACTATCCAAATCTATTTCCTTAGTTTATCATATAAAACTATAAACCTTTGTTCATAGACTATAGACATCGATTTGTATAATAAAGAAAGAAAGAATTATACCGTTTAGAATTTGTTTGACCTTTAAAAACAACCGATTTCAGTACTCTTTTACATCCTTATTTCATGCTTTAGTATTGCCATAATAAGTCATTAATTTAAATAAAACAATAGATCTATTATGATTATAAAATGGAATTGGTAGTAAAAAAACGAAAAAAATTCAAATAATAATCTAATAGAGCCATATTATATTGTATTATCAATTTCAAAAACTATTGATTATAGTTTTCAGATCATGTATAGAAATGGTATATTAATAAATTTATTATAACTAATATTATACGCAAAAAAAGAGAGAAGAAATTCTAATGATTACAAAAATGGCTATTATATATTCGATATGTGCATTTACATATAAACTAAATATACAACATATATATATATATTATATAAAGATGTTGTCTATGATTGTATACATGGCTTATTGAAAAAAGGTTTAACAGTTAATTAAAGGTGCTTAAAGGTATTTACAGATCAAATCATTTATTTTGTCTTCTTTGTGTTTTTATAGAAAAAAGTTACTTTCGGATAAAAATAGAAAACGAAAATGAAAACTGAAAGAAAAGAATGCATAATGTGTGTTTTTTTAAAAGATTAATCTATGAAAGGTAACAAATTTCTATCTCATTAATTTCTTTTTTATACCTTTAAAAAAAAAATGAAGTTCAACTGATTGTATTTCGTGACAAAAATTTTTAAAAAAGAGTTATATGAATCTGTTTTTACAAATTATTTAAGTTGGATTAAGTATCAGTAGTAAATTTGCTTAGTTTTCCTTCTTTTTCTCTTCTTTTCTCTACTCTTTCTTTTTACAGTTTGTTTAGAAAGCAAAAATTTTTCTGTTTATAAATTTTTGCTCTCTTTATGTATATTTAAAGAATTTCTCTTTAGAATAAGACTTTGTAATAAGAGACTTAATTCTTTTCTTTTTTTTTTCAAGTGTTTCTGTTTTCATATATTCTCAAAAAGAAGAAAAACAAATTACTAAATAGTTCCGATAAAACCAACAGGCGGCGTACAGTTTTCTCATCCACCAGATAGCGTCAACATGCTAAAATAATTGTTAATCTATCGAGGCACTCCAGAATCTCTTTATATCCATATTCATAACCTCTTAGCCAATAGGAATTCGTATACCTAGTCACGTGAGAAGGCCTATAGTAAACCAGCTCATTCACATCAACGGCAATCGTGGACCGCAGCAGACAATGGAGATTTGAAAAAAAAGACTGTGATCTTTGAGAGACTAGAATATTTCTGTTTAGTTTTATTCAAGATAATTTAAAAGGCTTTAGCAAAGAGTGAATTTTTGAGTTAACTTTAGTTTTTTTTCCCTCTTCTCATTTGTTTTCAAGAAGGAAGGAAAAAAGTTACATAATGTCATTCCTGCCAAACGGCTCTATATTTCGGGAACTCCAAGTTGTCCACGATACAGGTTATTTCTCTGCTCAACCCTCACTGGACGATAAATATCAGCAGGTTAGTTGAATTTTGTTCAAGTTTCTACAAAAAAATCACTTTTCAAATGGTACCTTCAATTCGTATTGTCTATACTTCCTATTAACTATGGTATTTGCGTAATATTAGCATATTTAATGGAAAATACTTGACTATGTAGAGTATCAGTAAACTAGAGATTTTTCATGCTCTTATCATGCTATACTTTAACTATTTATAGATAGCAATAATCGAACAGTCTGATAGCATTTCTCTATAAAAATTATTCACGTGTTCTACATGTGAAGGAGTAGAAGAGATTTTTCTCTCTAGAAGTTCGTTCTGTTGTTCAACAATATTTAGGCCTCAGACTGGATTTGACCCAGTAAACTATGCTTGTTCCGACTCGCATTTATCGCCTCGAGTGATTTTCAGCTGTATTTTTAGTCCCGTATCTTTCTTTCAAGCATTAAATTATATATTATATATTTAACTATATATTTATTTATTTATGTAAAAATGAAAGATATATATATATATATATTTATATGTTGCTATAAATGGCTATTTTCGTATTAAACTTTTGCATTAGTATAAACAGTATAAAGTATATATATATATATATATATATATATATATATTATATGTTATATATAGTATATATATATAAACATAGTATATTATTATAGAATAATAATTGATAATTACCAGCTGAAAGATGATATCAACTCATAAAAGTTTATTATAATTAATGTGTAAATAACATAAAATCTTTATTAATTAGTTATATTAATAATTATTTAATTTTTACTATTTTATGAACAAAAAATTACGCGTTTTTTCCATTGTGACTAAATCTTGTATCATCATTTCTCATTGATTCCGTTATTCAAACGATTCAAGGTAAAGAGATTATAAGTGTTTTATAAATGGCTATTTAATGAGATTCGTGTAATATACACATATATATATATATATATATATATTAGTCTTCTATATATTTCCATTTAACCTTATCTTATGTTCATTGAACTCTTCTAAAGTCATCAGAAATAATCAATTTTTATGTTGTTTGAATTCTTTGAAGGCTCTTTAAAAAAAAAAAACACTCATTTTAAAAGATACTAACCTTACAAATATACTCAGGGAAATTATTTAAATATACTGGCCAATGTGTTTAAAGGCTTTAATCTTTTTTACATTGTATAAATGTCCAGCATGTTAATCTTTTAACTCGATATTAGTCAAACAAAAAAACAATATAGCAATCGTGATAAAATGTCAAATATTTTATATAGTTCTTTTATGCAGTTTTAGTAATAAAAGAATAAATAAATAAACAGAAATATTTGAGAAATATATATATATATAATATAAAATGATATGCAACTAGTAAAAGTAATTCTTTTCTAATTATTAAGCAATTCTCTGGTAATACGTTTTTATTTTAATTTAATCAGATAATAGGCTAAATACACCAAATATTTTTAATTCTACAGAATAAAAGGGGGTAAAAAAAGACTTCTTTATATAGTGTATATAAATATATATATATATAGTAAATATATAGAGTGTATATATATTATACTTTGTCTACGTACTGTCTGCAGGAGTATGTACATATATATATATATATATATATATATTTATATATATTTGTATTTTTAAAAAGCGTAACAGTGCTCTTGGTTGTCTGCTCTAATGAGTTTTACACCATTTTGATCGATTTTAAAGACAGGTTAACAGATACTTTTTATTGGTATTTGTTACTTCTATTCTATAATAAAGAGAGAACTAGAAAGCGGTAAGAATGAGGTAAAGATATTATCATCAAAAAAAATTATGCTTAGAAAACAAATTCCTTAAATTCTTTTTGATGACGAAAATATGTCCATTAATCATCCTGTTGGCGTTCTTTCCCCTTACAATTGTTCACCGTTAGTTTGACCTTAGTGTATGAAAATTTTAAGTGTATAAATGTTACGCAGATTTATTAACATTTCTGTTATACAAGTATTTTTAAGGTTTCTAGGCAATGCTTATAAAATTTACAGACAAGTCACGCTCGAAGAGTTTTCTTACTTGTTTCCCTTCAAGTTTGTCACGCTAAAAACATTTAAATTAAC